TAAAAAGAAAAAGCAAGTAATCGACAAGCAGTCCCAACCACTCGTTCGGGAGCCCGGATAGACACCCCGACAGGAGGAACGAGAGGCTCGGCAGCCGTCGCTGCCCCCTCGAAAACCACCCGAGCTCCACTCTTAGGCAGAGGGCTCCCGGGCAAACCAGCCACCTCAATGTCAGTGGCCCCAGCAACAACCTCCTCCACCTCGCGAGGAACAGAGGTTCCCCCAACCTCCCTCGGGACCCTCTTTCTTTTCCGATTAACCTTCAGGGGAGCGACCTCTCCCTCCCCCTGAGTCCCAGGAGCCTTAAGCTCAACGACATTGTAGCGCTGGTACTGCTTCCAGTCACGCCACAAGCCCTTTCCCATAATACCTGAAAGTAAAGGACAGAGCACGTCAGCAAGCACAAAACGCTAACGTGTAAACGAAGTACCAAACACTCACCCTCCAAATCTCTTTCCCTGTGCGCCGAACGCTCGAGCGACAGGATGAGCTTGCAGTCTAGCGGACGAGGAAGCGCTTTCAAAGCATCAACGGCAGCCGTTTCCGACGGCGTCAGCTGCGACGAGTCCACCCCATGAAACCCAGATGGGTCATGGCACCAGTAGAAGGGAAACCTCGGCAGCCCGCCAAAGTATAACCCCCCATCCTCCAAAGGGTCGACATCGACAAGAGTAACCCGGAAAAACTCTTGCCTATAGTTTTTATACGATTGGGAATAAGGAGTAAACAAACCCCCCTCCTTACCCCATTCAAAGAAAGAGTCCCATACGGCAGAGCACTCGCCTTCAATTGGTAGAAAGAGAGGAAAACCTGAAGGGACACCTCCATCCCTAAAACCGTGCATAAAACCTCGAACGCCCTCAAAAAGCCCCAACTGTTGGGATGCAACTGACTTGGGGCCGCATTAACGTAGTTCAAAAAGTCGCATTCGAACTGCGTGAAAGGAAGGCAGACACCCAAGTCCCTGAAAAAACTCTGATACACATAAAAGGAGGGAGGACCAACGGACCTCTTCATATACACACCTTCACTAGCTGAACAAGGCTCCAATCGGATCATCTGAGAAATAGAAGGGTCACAAATCCTATGCGTCTCCCAGAGCGCGTCAACCTCCAAACTCGAGTCAAAAACGCTTGCAAACTTGGCCATTTCGCGTTTTACCCATTCGTAGCCAGGGACGCCCAACTCTAAGTCCCCGGGCGGAGGCACCTCCTTTCCCTCAGCGGCACCCCTTCCGGTAACTACCACCTTACCGCGTGCTTTGCCCCTAGCAGGGGCAGAAGAACCAGCGCCATGACCACCAGCCATCAAGAAAGACAAAGAAAATAGAGGCGGAGAACAAGCGAAGACGAAGCGTGCACAAGAAGCTGAAGGACGCAAAAAGAGTAAAGTGAAAAGGAGAAGAGGCGTGAGAAAAAGAAAAACCTCTCCCCAAAATTCAAAACGGCCAGGCCACGTGTCGACCAAAGGACACGCCTGACGGTACATCTATTGCAAGACCATCATTACACAACCGTCACTGCCCTTAATGCGTCACTCAAGCGTCTCCAGGACACAAACAGTTACGACACGTGGCAGACCTTCAGTTAGTGTATGTGCAAAAGCCACTCCCCCCTTAGCGAGCCCGGTCTTAGCTCCTCGGTCTACGGCCTTCAGAGCTCAGGGGGCTAGTGTACTAACCGTACTTCGCACCCGGGCTCCGAGCCCGGATTAGCAATACAAAACAACCCCGGGCACGCGCTGCGCGACGTCAGCCCGGTATTTGAGCAAATCACACTCGAACCCGAGGATCTCGCCCCAGACCAGATCCGCCCTTCAAATATATCATATCATATTGCAATATATTATACTATAACATATCTTATCTCAGGCCCAAGGCCCAAGGCAAACCTAAACCACCCTAAGGTACGTACATTATATATATGAGACTATTATTTATGCAAACCCTAACTTTGGCATCGGAGTCTCTTTTGCAGGTACCTCCCCCATCTTGGAGCACCAATACATCAAGCAAAGGAGGCTCACCGATCTTACTGGACGGATCACCCCTACGGTCAAATTCCGGTAAGAACACAAAGATTTTAAAGGAAAGAAAAAAAAATAAAAATAAAAATCAACCAGCTAAATTACAATCAACCAAATTACCAATGACTAATTGAAAACAATATTACAAATGAGAACAGATTGGATTCATCTCGACTATGAAAGCTTGCCTCAGGGGAAGAGGTTGCCTAAGCCATTATCAAAACCATTGTAACCATTATATGTCTAACCGATGTGGGATCCTAACACAAACCTTAGCCGGACTAGACAACTCAAGACTGAAGTTTGCAAAACTGAAAATTTGTATATGTGATTAATAGCATAACTAAATATACTTACTCAAGCAATGCACAATTGCAAAATGTAGTTTGTAATAAACAATCAAATATCATTCAAACTCTTGAACGAAACAAACTCGATTTATATCCTATCAGAATTTAGGTCTCTTTGATCTTATAACCTACAAAAAATCAAATAAAAACAAAATCTTAGAACTAGTTAAAGAGTATATAAAAATAAATGAAACAACATTAAAGCATTTACAAAAACACAAATAAAGTTGCACACACCCATGTAGAGGGAGTTAGAGATTAAAAAACACACACACAAATAAAGACACGCAGAGAGACACATAAATATAAGCACATCCAAACACAGACACATACACAAATAAAGATAGGTAGAGACAAAGATAAATTACAAAAAGGTCAAGACGTAGCATACATTCAAAGACACACACACACACACACACACACACACACACACACACACACACACACACACACACCTATAACATATCTTATCTCAGGCCCAAGGCCCAAGGCAAACCTAAACCACCCTAAGGTACGTACATTATATATATGAGACTATTATTTATGCAAACCCTAACTTTGGCATCGGAGTCTCTTTTGCAGGTACCTCCCCCATCTTGGAGCACCAATACATCAAGCAAAGGAGGCTCACCGATCTTACTGGACGGATCACCCCTACGGTCAAATTCCGGTAAGAACACAAAGATTTTAAAGGAAAGAAAAAAAAATAAAAATAAAAATCAACCAGCTAAATTACAATCAACCAAATTACCAATGACTAATTGAAAACAATATTACAAATGAGAACAGATTGGATTCATCTCGACTATGAAAGCTTGCCTCAGGGGAAGAGGTTGCCTAAGCCATTATCAAAACCATTGTAACCATTATATGTCTAACCGATGTGGGATCCTAACACAAACCTTAGCCGGACTAGACAACTCAAGACTGAAGTTTGCAAAACTGAAAATTTGTATATGTGATTAATAGCATAACTAAATATACTTACTCAAGCAATGCACAATTGCAAAATGTAGTTTGTAATAAACAATCAAATATCATTCAAACTCTTGAACGAAACAAACTCGATTTATATCCTATCAGAATTTAGGTCTCTTTGATCTTATAACCTACAAAAAATCAAATAAAAACAAAATCTTAGAACTAGTTAAAGAGTATATAAAAATAAATGAAACAACATTAAAGCATTTACAAAAACACAAATAAAGTTGCACACACCCATGTAGAGGGAGTTAGAGATTAAAAAACACACACACAAATAAAGACACGCAGAGAGACACATAAATATAAGCACATCCAAACACAGACACATACACAAATAAAGATAGGTAGAGACAAAGATAAATTACAAAAAGGTCAAGACGTAGCATACATTCAAAGACACACACACACACACACACACACACACACACACACACACACACACACACACACACACACACACACACACACACACACACACACACATATATATATATATATATATATACAAACACACATACACAACGTAAACAAATAGTGTAAACAATGAGTACTCAGATAAGCATCACATATGCCGTATAAATAAATGAAAGAAACAAATAAGCATACCAGTAGTGTTGTTTGATCAGTCTCATCCATAATGCATACATCAAACCTCATATCGGCATACAAAGGACTATAAACAAGTAATTGCAACAACTTTCGCCAATTTAAACCAAATTTAGGGGCCTACATCCAAATAATATTGAAACACATACAAGGGGCAAGTATTTAGTCATATAGGTATGAAAATAGTAATTCATACAAAAACTTCACAAGTAATTTACCTCAAAGTCAACAATATCCTTCTACAAATAAGCACTTCAGTCATTTTGTAGAGAAAAGTAGCATAAAATTCAATTAAACCTACAGAAAAAATGTCAAAAATACTCATATAATTAAATAACTTTGAATACTATTATACATTTCTCAATTAATTTTTGAATGAGACAATAGTAAAAAAAATTTAAAGCAGTAGTCTAATTTCAAATTACTCACTTATCACAAGACAAAAATAATTCCTAAATTCACCAAAAACAAAAAATTCCTGAATTCACCGAAAACAAAGAAGAAAAATACTCACTTACCACATACTAAGTAACAAATGCTAAAATATATAATTTTGATTTAAATTTAGGGTCAAATATTTCACTTAATCAAATCATGTGACCCTCCTACAATGAACATGAGCGATGATGAAATAAATTTACAAAAAAAAAAAATTCAAGTAAAAAACGAGGACTAAAATTAAGAAATAAAATTTAGAATTTTGAAAAAAAAGAATACCACTATAATATTACGATTGAAAAAATCCTATTATATAATAGCATAATGTATCCCAAGAACCGTATAATCAATTGTGTTTATCATATATTTATTACACAACAGCGATTGGCAAGATGAGTAACATGAGTTCGAGGATGGTTCGGCGGGGTAAAACCTTCACCATATTACCGGAACCTCATTATAAAATGCTAATTTTACATACTGATTTTTATTTTTATTTTACTAAACTTGACTCTGTTTTTTTTTTTTTTTTTTGGTCTTATCAGGTTGAACTTGAAATATGGCGACAGGTCATCCCGTGAGAAGTGAGAAGTCTAGATGGAACCAAACTAACATTATTAGTGTCTGTATAAATAAATCTGCAACTCCAGTCTAAAAACCCAAAAGGGAATTGAATCCTTCAGAGTTCAGATTTCACATCACAACACGCTATGAGCTGGTGGTGGGCTGGAGCAATCGGCGCTGCCAAGGCAAGATCATCGATTATTATTCATTTCAATTATTATTCTTACTCTCACTAATTATCTTCTCCTGTGTGTGCCGTTGCAGAAGAAATTCGAGGAAGACGAGCCGCCGCGAACCTTCCAGAGCGTGGGACTCGTGATTGGCGTCACCGGTATCGTCGGCAACAGCCTCGCCGAGATCCTCCCCCTCGCTGATACCCCCGGCGGCCCATGGAAAGTCTACGGCGTGGCCCGCCGCCCCCGCCCGCCGTGGAACGCCGACCACCCAGTCGAGTATATCCAGTGCGACGTCTCCGATCCCGCCGACGCCGATGCCAAGCTCGCCGCTCTCTCCGACGTCACCCACGTCTTCTTCGTGTCGTGGACCAACCGCCCCACCGAGTCCGAGAATTCCGAGGTTAACGGCGCAATGTTGAGAAACGTGCTGCGAGCCGTTATCCCGAACGCCCCCAATCTCCGCCACGTGTCCCTCCAGACCGGCACCAAGCACTACCTCGGACCCTTCGAACTCATCGGCAAGATCGAATCGCACGAGCCACCTTTCACGGAGGATCTGCCGCGTTTGGACGCGCCCAATTTCTATTACACCCAAGAAGACATCCTCTTTGACGAAGTCAGTAAGAAGGAGGGTTTAACTTGGTCTGTTCACAGACCCCAAACAATCTTCGGTTTTTCTCCCTATAGTTTGATGAACGTGGTAGGGACTCTCTGTGTTTACGCCGCGATTTGCAAGCACGAGGGGGTTCCGTTGAGATTCCCCGGCACGAGGAGCGCGTGGGAGGGTTACTCTTGTTGCTCCGACGCGGATTTGATTGCGGAGCAGCACATTTGGGCCGCGGTGGACCCCTACGCGCGCAACGAGGCGTTTAACTGCTCCAACGGGGATGTGTTCAGGTGGAAGCATCTTTGGAAGGTGTTGGCGGAACAGTTTGGGATCGAGGAGTATGGCTTTGTGGAGGAAGGTTCCCGTTTGAGGTTGTCGGAGCTTATGAAGGATAAGGGTCCTGTTTGGGATGAGATTGTGAGTGAGAATCAGCTTCTGCCTACTAACCTTGATGAGGTTGGTCTTTGGTGGTTTGTGGATGTTATTTTCTCTGTGGAGGGCATGGGCTTATTGGATAGCATGAACAAGGCTAAGGAACATGGCTTTTTGGGATTCAGGAATTCCAAGAATTCGTTTGTGAGTTGGATAGACAAGACCAAGGCTTATAAAATTGTGCCGTGAATTGAGATTTATTCTCTTTCTGCTTCTTGTTCATTTGTCCCGTGGATCTGTTGTACTTTCATTTTTTTTTCTCTGTAATTTATATGGAATGAATAAAACCTGGGTTATTGTTTGTGTTTTGTAATAATTTGTGTTTGAAAAGGAATTTGTATCCAGTGTTATAGTACCTACTCAATGAGGGAAAGCAAAGCGGTGACGTGCTTCATGGTTCTTTCATTTATGCTCAGATTATAAAAGGAATTGCAATTGTTTTTCATGAGACAAGTGGATTGACTACTAGTCTAAATTAGACTATTGGCCTGAGATGGTTATTGTAATCGAAGTATTTGCTTTTCGTGATTGTTAGTTTGCTAATTTATATTTGATTAGATGGCAATTGAATAACGTAATCGGTGCCACGTGTCACGGATTGCTCTGAAAATGATAGTATATAATATATACAATTAAAATTAGTGTTGTAACGGAAAGAAAATATCGGTGGTGATATGGTTAGTCATGAGTGGATACAAAGAAAGAATAGATTTGAGAATCAGAGGATAAATTTTGTAATTATATCATTGACTTGGATGCAGATTGCGCTGTCTAGAGGTGACTTCCTGTACCTGAGTCCATCGGCAAGTTGGTCACGAGTAGAGGGCTAGAGGCAGATACATTGAACTTGGCTGGTAAAAGTATCCCTCGTACAAGTATATGTCACACGGATTCAGGGACGGATTCATTTAGAGGAGACGTTTCGACTAATCTTCTGGTATCTATTGGAATACGAATGTGGAAATATTTATATCTATCTTTGTTAGAAACATCTTTGTTTTTGACTATTGTTCCGAAGAGGTCTCACGCTTATGTTGTCAATTTGATCGAATACTTCATAATCATGATAAGGTATATGAGATAATAAATTTTTTTTAATATATTTAAATGATTAGATTTTTAATAATAATATTGTTTTATCTATACTGTAACTTGTCTTCATGAGATGCATAATCTTATAATATGCACTTGAATATCTGCTGACATCGAAATCCCATTTATAAATACAATCAACACTTGACACACTTGGAGGTCTATGATCGAGAAGTTGTGGACCAAAGATTTTCAATCAAAGACTTCTTAAGAGTACTATTTGGTAAGTACATTTGGTATCTATCACGGAGTCATAAATTTTTTTCCTATGGACCTTACCGAATTGACACAATGGTTGGTATAGGAAGATCACCAGGCAGAAATTATGGAATACAAACATTATTCATTCTTCTTTAAATAAGATTACTCTTCTGATTTTTTTTACAAACACTTACTCACCATCAACCTTTAATATAGTCAAACACAACCCTTCATTACAATTTTTTTGAAAAAAGGTAGATATGCTAAGGCATCACTATGTGGAAGAGAGATTCTAATTAGGTTAGCACCTCAATCCATACCAATCATCTGTAGCATATCAAAAATACACTAAATGATAAAGAAAAAAAAGAAATACAAGTACAAATGTCAATCACATCCTATCCTAAGAGACTCTAAAGTGTGGAAGACTTCCACGGTCCCTAGAATAAGCAGTCATGATAAGATGAAACAGATAATCACCAATGATAACCAACGTGTCTAAGACCAAAACTTGTTAGACTATCGGCACATCCATTTCCCTCTCTAAAAATGTAAGAGAAATGGAGTCTCATCTGCCTAATATGGAATAACATGTTCAACCACTGAACATACAAACTACATGGAACTAAATAGGGTAAGAGAAGGCTTTGATGGCTAGTAGCGAATCTGTCTCTATCTAGAGCGACATTCAGCCATGACTCTAAGCTATCTGAACTGCATGAATGATGGCCAAAACTTTTACTTCCAGTGCTGATTTGGCCAATACTGTCTCGGCTAGGCAACCAACCAAGTTGGCTCTACTGTCTCTGAAGATGATCCCGCATGTTTCTGAAGAATAGAAGGTAGAGAAGGCCCCATCCGTGTTGCACTTGATCCAGCCTACCGAAGGGGGAAACCATCGCACCTCTACAAGCTGGTCCACTCTCTGGCCCCTGCAAGGTAACAAAAAACTTTTTAGTAGTTTAAGTTCCTTTATGTTATTATTCATAGACAAAGGGGAAAAAGAGCTACAAGAGTTAACAAGTGATAGTATTTTGTTTTTCAAATATTCTAGTGTATTGAAACGATTATGAAATTTTATCAGGTTCCTATTATTCCACAGTTCATCAATGGTGAAAGTAATAACTGATAAAATTACCAATTTAGCAAATTTGCTCCATGTATTGTTTAAAATATCCAGAATGTTTGTAGTGTTTAGATTGACATCCATTAGTCTGGAGAGCCAATCCCAAATGTTTAAAGCAAATGAACACTCAAAGAATAAGTGCTTAGAAGTTTCTAGAGCATTATAACAATGAGGGCAAACAGATGTAATGATTACCCCCTTTTCCTTAAGAGATCCTCAGTGAGGATCTTCCCATTGAGAAGTCTCCAAACTACAAAAGACTTAAAAGGGAGGGATATTTTTATGCCAGATTGTTTTTGACAACCCTTATCCTTCAACTCATAAACACTCTTATAATAATATGGCTTGTTCTAAGAGATAAGATATATGTATCTACTACAATGGTGAAATGATTGTTGATGAAGAAGTAAGGGCATCATTGTATAGATGCCTTCGCCCAACTAGGATATTAGTGAGACGAGGCTTGTTGTTAGAAGAATTAAAATGTAAGATTCAACAACGAATCCAAATTTCCCCTACCCAAAAGGTTGTTGATCTTTATTTTTGTCACCTTTTACTTGTCGGAGGTTCTTATGTTAACTATGGATCGACGTTCATTATAGACGAGAAAGACATCCAAATGATATTTTTTGCTAAAGACAATTATAATAGTCTTAGATGTGTTGAGATATATGCAACATAGGACATTCTCGAGCCTCAAAGTTTTTAACCCAATTTTTATATAAACGCATGTTCCATTGAAATAGAGCTTGCCCCCTCTTACATCGAACCTGAACCTATAAACCTATCCTTTGAATGGGAATGAGCTACATCTTCATATAGCTAACTCCTAACTGTTGAAAATTTTTCTACCCAATTATTCACATATCAATCACTCAATTTTCATAAAAGTCAACTACATCTACATCATGTCAGTCGTCATGATTGGGAGGTAACTACAACAACCTCAACAATCTAACAACAACAACTTTAAGTTGGTGGATATACATAAAGAATATGTTGGTCCCTTTAGCGAACATGAAGACAACGAGTTTGCACACAATGTTAACAATGACGACAATGATGATAATGATGATGATGATGATGAAGAAAATGACAACAATGTTGCAAGCCCATCATTCGCTCCAAGTACATGCAATCCCCCACACATGCTTCAACTGAATTTGAATCAGATAAATGCTAATGATGTTGAATTCAGACACTTATTGGACTGCAAAAGCATTCCACCTAAGGTGGGAATTCTATTTATTAGGCAACAATTTCTAAACAAATATGTTGTGGATTTTGTAATCAAAGATTTTCACATCAAGAACCATGTTAAATTAAAAAATACATATATATGATACAAGACGAATAGTTTCATACTGTCCTAAAAAGGGATGTAGTTGGCATTGTAAAGCATATCTTCGCAGAAATGGAATGTGGGAGATTCGTTCCCTACCTCATGCACGTACATGTGTAGTAGAGGTTCTTTCTCAAGATCATGCAAAGTTGGATTCAAAGAAGATAGTTGAATACATCATGTCGATAGATAAAATGGATCCAATGATTATAATGTCATTATTGATTGAAGTAGTTACAAATAAAGTAGGGTACACCTCTCATACACAAAAGTTTGGAAAGCTAAGCAAAAGACATTAGAACAAATATTTAGAAATTGGGAAAACTCATATAAGTTGTTGCCAATATGCCTTTAAGCCTTACAAGATCATGTTCCTAAAACAATCATCAAAGTTAAAACACACTCAATAATTGAAAATAATGTCTTGGTTATTGGCAAAAGAAGATTCCATCAAATTTTTTGGACTTTCAAATCATACATTGACAGGATTGAATACTGTAAGAAAATTGTTCAAATTGATGGAACATGGTTATACGACAAATATATAGGGACTTTATTACTAGTTGTGGCTCTAGACGAGAACATCACATGTTACCAATAACATGCGATTGTCAAGGGTGAGACAACAAATGCATGGTTTTGTTTTTCTTGAAAATTTTAAGAAGGCATGTCACACCCTAAATTGAACTTTATTTGATCTCAGACATACATGAATCTATTAAAAGTTCTTACAATTGAAAAGATAATGGGTCTGGGGCGAGATCAAACGTCGCATGTGTTTTGTATTCAACATATTGCACAAAAATTCATTAGAAAATACAAGAATGTTGATCTACACAAATTTGTTGTTAACATGGGTAAGTAACTAATTCATCTAAATTATATTTTTTCATGTGATTAGTTCTAATGTTGAAAAATATTTTATTATATGTTTCTAACTTCTCATATGCATTGATGGAAGCATGTTTCATTGTTACTATAATGATTTTCGACTTGAAAATATAGACATTGTCAATTGGCTTGATACCTATGAAACAGTGGATTCAAACACTTGACGGAGGTCGATGGTGGGAACACATGATAATCAACCTTGTAGAGTCTATCAATTTAGTACTTAACCAATAACACCATTATTCCTAGAAACATACTTCAAATTAGCTAAATTATTCACTAGGAGGGAGAAGGAAGCAAATGTAATGTTGGCAGTTGATCACAAATATGAAAAAATTGTCAGAAAAGCCATGAATGACACGATAACAAAATCTACATCTCATAAAGTTGAAATGTTTAATCAACAAAATTAATCATTCATTATGTCCGAAACAATGAACACACGAGATTATGGATGAGACCATCAAAGAGATTCAGAGTATTCTTCCAAATACAAAAGTGTGATTGTGGTAAATTTCAAATCATACACATGTCTTGTTCACATGTCATAACTGCATGTGCATATATTTACTTAAATGAGTTAAACCACATGTCATTCCTTTCTCCGGTTTACACAAAATATTTTTATTTTGTATAATATTTTGTTCAAAATACTATTTGACAAAAATGAGTAGCAATAGTATAATAGAGATGTATGGTGTCATGATTAAAAATTGCGAATAAATCATAAAGGTCATTCTAAGTCTACTTGCATACACACTAAGATAGACCTTAGAGAAAAAAGTTAACCTAAAAGATATGATTATTGTAAAACTATTGGACACTCAAGAAAAAAATATTCACAACTTCAACAATTATGACTTGATTTTTTATTATATATTTTATGTTTGAATAATTAAAAATAAAAAATCATGTATATTTTTGTTTATAACATTTAATTAACTTTATCCTTAAAATTTAATTTATGCTTTACATTTTTTTTTATAACATTGTACATTATTCATTAAAATATCATACACATTAATAAAATTATATAAAAAAATTAACTTTTATTATAACCATAAAAAAATTATCTAAATAAAGAAACTAAATATTTAATTTTTATAGTTATTAAAATGTATTATTTATTTATATAATTTAATTACTATAATAATTTATTTTATTTTAATTTATATTTTTATATTTTAAAAAAATATATTTATTATATAAAATATACTTTTTATAAACCCGACTTCTACTTCTCAATGCATAAAAAAAAAGGGTAATTTGACAAATAACATGCGATTTCTCTATTAGGCCCTGTCCTCTAGTCTGGCTTTACTCTTGTATAGCGAAAAAGAAAGAAGGAAATGGTTATCACAAACTTCAACGGAACCGGGGTTGGATTTGGTATACAAGCTGCTTTGGGTTTTCACGATTTCTGCACATTCAAAACCCTATCTTACGCTTGTATTTGTTTTTCAGGTTTCGGCGTTGGTTGCGGTTTCGGTGTAGGATGGGGTTTCGGAGGTCTGTGCCACCATGCTGCATTTATTTTAATTGAATCGCTTAAGACATTTCTCTACCCTTTGAAATTGCATTTTAGTGCCCTCGGCACGCAATTTTCATATGCTCGTACAACTGATTGTGTACGGTAACTATTGAATCTGGATAATAGAGAGGAGAGGAGAAATGGAGTGAGATGGAAATATTTATTGGTAGATAATGGAAAATGTGTGGAAACTTCTAGAGTTATAATTTAGGTCCAGTTTAGATTAGCTTCTTTCTAGTTTATGTGTTCTTTTCAATTGAGATAAGTAATCAAGTATTTGATAATTCCTAATTTATAATAAAACTCTCATAAGTTACTAGTGTTTATTGAAAATGTTGAAGTATAAATTGATTCTATTTACTTTTTTCTTCTGTATGGGTAAATGGGTATTGTGCAAAGGTGCAAGAAACAGACCGTTGTAGATGTGTTGGCTTCCTGGCCCATCAGGGACCTTCTCGGTTAGTTTGGCATATAAAGAGCTACAGCAGCTGAGGTGTGGTTGTTTGCCTATTGAAAAGTTCAACCAGATATGGAGCGTGGCAATCCCTCCTAAGGCAGTTGTTTTCCTCTGGAGAGTTCACCATAATGCCTTACCATCTACTGCCAACCTTTTGAGAAGAAACCTGGTCTATGCTGATACCTCTTGTCCTTTCTGTCGTCTCCAAACAGAAACAATCTCTCATATTCTCTTTACTTGTAAGGAAGTTATTACAGTTTGGGAAGGATGCTTTGGTTGGGTTAATACAACAACAGTACTCTTGGAAGATCCATTGTTGCATTTCAATTTCATCCCATGTGTCCTAGATTCAAAAGAAAAAGTGCAAAGATGGCGGGTAGTATGGAGTGTTATAGCCTGGAGTATTTGGAACCAGAAAAATGGTTGTGTATTTACTATTTAGTCAGAAGCAGTTTGATAAGCAAAATTTGATGAAGGACATTATTCACACAGTTTGGTGTTGGCTGACTCTAAAACAGAACAGTTTCCTGGTTCCCTTCAATTTATGGTCAATCAATCTTGGTCTATGTATTTAATGTTGGGTGATATGGATACAGAGAATTCCATATAGGCAGTTGTTTGATATTTTAGGTATTCTGCCTTGTGGATAAATCAATAATGTTAGTATTTTGGTGGTGGTTCGGATATTGCAGATTTTCTGTCTTGCTGGTTGGGGCTGTTCTGATATTCCAAATATGCAGGAATTGGTTCCTGGTGGCCTTTGGTGTCACAGCATGCCGTACATTACTCTGGTGTTGTGTTTTTGTTGGCTAACTATAAAGGGCTGAGCTGTAGTTGTGTATTTATGGTGAATGCTAGAGGCTGCAAGAATTAGCTTATGGTTTCACAGTAAGTGGGATATAATTCTGGTGGTGGGTGCTGTGTTTTTTGGTGGCTAACTAGAGCGGGGTATAGTTGTTAACTTGACTATCATGATGTGGCCTATCGTCTGGGTGCCCCAAACTTCTCTGTTTCTACATGTTTAGGTGATTCTGGTTAGATTGTAATTTGTCTCTATATATATTCAAATTAGTTTTAACCAGGGATGGTATATTACAGATTTCCTTTGTATAAGTGTTTATGGTGCCCGTTGTACCATGTTATTTAAAAAGTTATTTGTTTGCCGATAAAAAAAAAGACTGTTGTAGACTAGGAGCAGTGCAGAGGCAGAAAATAGATCAATCACTCATGCTGTTTCTGAACTGATCTGGATAAATGGGTTACTTCAAGATTTATCTATTTCAATTCAAGAACCTGTGAAACTCTTTAGTGACAGCAAGTCAACAATCAGCATAGTTAAGAATCCATTTCAACATGATAGAATAAAGCATGTAAGGATTGGCAGAAACTTCATCAAATCAGAAATTGAAAATGGGGCATTTACCCTTGTTGGAATCTAATGTTGGCTAGCTTGGAATGAGGTGGAGGGTTCGAAACCAATTCCTAGATTTTAAGAGAATCATGATATCTCTGTAATTGGAAGGATGACAATCAACTATTCTATTTTTATTTCACTCCTGTAATTTTAAATTCTGGAAATGTCCTATTTTTTATTTCATTTTTCATTTTCTTCCTTCTTTCTATATAATGTATCTCTACTTATATGAAATTATACAGAGATGAAATAATTTTCTTCATAATTTACACATCTGATCTGTTGTCTTTGTCTGTTTCCCAGGTATGCCATTGAACTTATTGGGTCTTGGTGCAGGTACAGTACTCATGAATCTTGCTTCCTTCCTTTCCTGTTTTAGTTTTAACTATCAGTATTTAATGGCTATGGCATGCTGTACGATTTGAGTAGTCTTTGCCATCCAAAACCCCAATGTTACAGGTTAAAACCAATATCTATTTATCTTCTTCAAAACCCTCTTCTCTGTCTTCTTCAAAGGTACTAGTTGATGACTTCGTAGGGACTCGGTTGCCAATATCTATCCTTCTAGTTTGGTTACTGCTAGTATCTAACATTATGGCATGATAACTCGGCTCCTACCCTTCTTCTACCAGAAAATAATATACACAGCTGACCCCCAGAAAGTTTTATTTTGTCTACCAACTCTCAAGTCTCGAGTAAAGTTGGCACTGTCATTTCCGATTTCTTAATTTTAGGTTCTGCCTAAGGTGCGTGTATTTGGATTTTTATAATGATTTTTTTTATGTTGAAATATAATTACCGTCTTAAGGTACAATTTTGTTTGTGCTCAATGAAAGTTTTCAATTAGTAGTAGGACGAATTAAAATTGAGTATCATGTATAAAGAAAATATGTACATTATAAGTCAATTTAAATTTTTGTAATAAAATATCAAATAATTTTCAAAATTTGCAAAATTTATATACTTGATCTATTCAATAATAACTTTTAATTTAACAATTAGATTATTGAAATTCAATGTATACTGTGAATTATTGAGGAGAATAATTCTATCAAAAGTTATTTTTGGAATAATTTGATCCCTATCCATATATATTTGTCTCTTGTACGTAACTAACCATGTTCAATTTTGTTTCTCTATTTCGCTGTATTACATGTCAATCTCACATTGTTATAACGGCAATAGCCAGTGAAAATGATTGTGCATATGAAGTGTTTTTTTTAGGGGTTGAAAATTTGTCATCTACAAGGACCGAAATTTATTTCAATATTTATTTTTATTAACTTTTTTTATTTATTTTTATGAATGAAATATTATGAATTTGACCCATCATCATATTGAATTGGGTATACTGGATGCAATTTTGAAGGTGGAGGCTGTGGCGTTGGAGTAGGACTTGGTTGGGGGTTTGGTACTGCATTTGGTAGCAAGTATAGGTCCTCACGGATCACATTTCAAGGAGTGGAATTTGATAGTAAAGAGAAAGTTAATAGCACGGATTTCTCAAAACCCAGCACCGAAGTTGGAGGTGCACGGTAGCGTTTGTACTTTGTAAATTGCTGGTCGCCCTATGAAGATAAATTGCATTTGTAATAAATAGGAGCCCGTGGAGAGATACAATACTACTTGTGACTTCGGATTGTTATCCATTCAAATCATAGCACTATGGTGCTTTTTACAGCTTGCATTTCTTGGATAATGGTTGCACAATTGCACTATGGTTCATGAACTTCTGACTTATTAATGATATACTTATTAATTAATTCAAGTATTATATATTCGAAGTCTTTTCAATGTTGGAAAGAAGAAAAAACTGAGTGGAAATGAAATTTTAATTCTCCTTTACCTCACGCATCCTTCAAGTTTCTAAACTAAACAAAATAGAATTTTAAAAACTCTTTTCTCGAACATACATGCACTCAAGATCAATGTTCTGTATGTAATATTATATGCATGGTATAACGCTTTATCGAGTTAGCTTCTTCATGAATTCGTTGGTGAATTCTAAGTATTTAAATCTGTCGTTATTAAATAAAATGATATATTTTACGATCACCCGTTGACCTATTAAAATACTTTACCCATAGTATCACTCTACCCAGATATGTACAGTTGGTCACTCAAACTTTTGTCGGTAATTATATGACAGATTGCCTTGTAAACTTTAATTTTTTCCAATTAGAAAAATCGAAGGATTTAATTGGTGCAAAGGATTGTTAAGAGGTTAAAATTAAAAACTGCCACAATCAACTTAATAATAAAGAATTGAATTAATATATAGTGTGAAGTTCGAATTTTAATACCATTATTATACTTTTGATACATAAAAAAAATTATCACAGTGACAGGAGGATTATAGGTAATTAAAATTAAATATGATAAGTCTCGTAAATGAACATAAATTTGAAAGAAACTAAAGATATGTAGTCTAATCCAGTAAGTCACAAAAGTCAAAGAAAAAAAATCGCGTAGTGGAAGTTAATGTTACTATAGCACAAAATATGAGGCATAATGAATGGTGTTGATTAACTATGCGTCTGCGCCACAAACTTCAAAGGGAGTTGGACGGTACTAGTAAAAAATATTCACGTACATCAAATTTTGTTGATACGTTTTATAAACAGACATATAATCCTTGTTTGGTTGGTGAACCAAACGGCCAAGCAACTACGTTGCAGGGAAGGGTAAATCAATTACTATTTCATGAGATTATGGATGAGTGTACAATAATTTACATATCTTCTCAATAAATTGAACTAGACTAGATGATAAAACAAACCATTTCAAAAAAATTTCGTATCTAATCAACCTTATAAATATCAGTAAAATAGAGACATTTCTATCTCAATATTTTATTTTAAAAAAATAAAATAAAATAAAAGTTGAGATTAAGTAATAAAGATAGTCAAATAAATAATCAATGTTCATTGATTCAATTAGTGTTATGATTAATTCTCAAGTTTCAGATAATGAATTTTAAAAAATATTATTAAAAAAAATTAATAATAAAAAATATAATAATTTATCAAATGTAGAAATTAATGTAATTACTAAAAATAGTATCCTCTTGACAACGAAATGGAGAAAAATAGCTAAGGGTGTGGCTATTAGTAAAATCTAAATGTCTAAGTGTAAGTCCAAAGAGCTTGAATTATATTGGATGATAAAAATGTAATGATATATAATTATACTGTTACTAAATAATGATAAATATATTTTTCATCTGATGTAATTTTATATTATTATTGATTCGAATTCTTGAGTTGTCAAGTAACTAAAAAGACATGTCGAGTAACATTCTTTTAATGTTTTAGCAATTTATAATGGTTAATTGATTAACCAGCTTTACATCATATGAATTAAAAAACAAAATAAAACTCTGAATCTTTTAAAATATACAATGAAATTGTATGGGAAGTAAATTAATTAAATAGAAATCAGTTTATATGTTCGAAATCGATTTTCTAGACGACGATGATATGGAATAAATAATTATAAATGGTGCCAGTTCGATCTTCCTATCGACGTGGTGGACTGGTAGTTGACAACTTTTGTTAGGAGGAAGAAAAAAACGTGGTAGTAACTGAAAGTGCAACTTATCTACCACCCCTTTTATAAATTTGGGCAACTTATCTATCATATTGTTTCAAGCTACAACATTGTTTATTCTTGTCATAGGAACTACGCTCAAAATTCTCATTGATTAGGAAGCATGGCAGAACGAAGGGTTTTCACTCTCTCACAGGTTTCCCAACACAAATCCAACAAAGACTGCTGGGTGGTCATCAATGGCAGAGTACGTAGTACCTTCTTAATTATATATACATTATTTCATCACAATTTTTTTTATAGTTAATAAAGATATCATTTAGTATAAGTCGTCTATGAGTTGTTATAAATTCTCTTGGTATTAAATTCGATATCATTGGAAAAAAAGATTTTAATTCTCTTAATTGAGTAATATGCATAAGTTGTAAATGATTATTATGAATGAGAAGATTAATATATGATTTGAAGGTGTTGATTGATTGTTTTAAGTTGTGTAGGTGTTGGACGTGACAAAGTTCTTGGAGGAACACCCGGGAGGGGAAGAAGTGATTTTAGAGGTAGGTGGGAAGGATGCAACAAAGGAGTTTGATGCTATTGGACATAGCAAAGCAGCGCAAAACGTGGTCCTAAAGTACCAAGTTGGTGTTCTCCAAGGTGCCATAGTTAAAGATGTAGATTTGAAGGATGTTGTGGACAAGGAATCTAACACCAAAGAGATGAGTGCCTATGTGATCAAAGAGGATGGAAGGTCCAAGTCCCTCGCATTTTATGACTTTGTTGTTCCCTTTCTTGCTGCTGGTCTTTACATTGGTTACCGATACCTCACCAGAGCAGACTCTATCGCTTACTAGCTATCGTATTCGCTTTTAATTGAGACTTCAAAGTTGGATGATAAAATATGGGTTCGATGAGGAAAACTTCTTTTATTTTTGGTTCATTGTGTTTGGAACACTTTGAAAATAAATTAGTCTGTGCTTGTTTTACTCATTTTCGATCTACTTTCCAATACACTGCCAAGTTCCAACGCAAATGCATGTCTTTGTGGTTATTGACGTGATTAGTTCTTTTTCTTTTCTTTCTATCTCTACAACATACTTCTCTTTCTTTCTTTCTCTCTCTCTATATATCTCTATATATATAGTACAAACTTATCCTTCCTTTCACTACATAATTAGATAATTGTCATGTAAATCAATTTTGATGTAATAGATTATCCATAACATCAAACACAAACTTTGTTGCCTATGGATACTGAGAATACAAATTAATTTACTGAGACACTATCATAAAGGATTTATCTATATATTTTCACGTAAATTCATAGATGCTGAAAACACGAATTAATCAGAATTTTTAGAGCGTGCAACGTATTATCCTAAATAATTTATCTAAATCCTAAACTTATTTACAAACTTTCACGTAAATCCATGATACCGAGAACACGAATTAATTTAAAATTTCTAAGGTGTGCAATGCATTGTCTTTTTAAGACACAATATGATCGACTAGAAATGCAGAACTAACAAGTTTTTAATGATAAAAAAAAAAAAGAGATAACAGAGAAAAGAACATTGTTCAATGCATCCACTCCAATTGAATCCGTTGTGACTTTAATTAATCACGATAATTAAAATCAATTAATTTTGAAACGTTTGATCATTAAGATTAATTAAAATTATAACGATCAAATTATTATAACTCATTAAAATAGATATTAATTAGGATTTAATATCAGTAATTAATAAAATAGTTTCACAAATTAATTAATCTTTTGAAATATCTCAAACTGTACAACAATTCCTTACATATTTTAAAAGTTTTTAAAAACATTATGGATTCTCATGTATGATGTAATGAATTGAACCTATGGATTCTCATGTATGATGTAATGAATTGAACCTAATGTAGCAAGCTATTGAACTAAACTTATATTGATAAAACTTAATACACAATATAATGAGTATAGCAAGTTATTAAATCCAAAACATTTGGTGTGTATCAGAGGTAAACCAATTACAATACACCCCAAAATCTTGCCGTTAATCATTGCATTGGGCTTTCAGGCCATGCACGCACTTGATATTTATGAGTGCTCTAAACATCTTATCAAGATTTCATGCAAGTTATCTCACTTGATACTCATATATAAGTGATTTCATTATGTGTATGTTACAAATCATATATCATTCATAAGGGATATGAAAATCATTAAAATCTTTATAAGAGGTTAAACTTTCTCATAATATATAAAGCTCAACTATAAAGATTATTCTCTCATTAATGCAACTTTAGCACTTTTCCACACAATGGAAAGAGATTAAAAAATTAATTTTAGTGCCAATAGAACTAACAAGTGACTTGTTTTCCCATTGAACCTTCTTCATGAGATCTTCAATCATAAATGTTAGGTTACCATTATCTATTTATTTTAATTAGCTTTAATAAAATCTCATTCCCTTTGATGTTTACAAATAATTCACAATATTTTGTAAATAATATATCATCCATAGTGGTTTAAAGTTAAAAGATGGACCAAATCGACTACACATAATCATTTGACAAAAAATGTTCATCATCACATAAAATCATTCACATTAAGATCAACATAATTATTTATCTATGTTATTATTGGTGAGATTCATCTCATAAAAAATATAATTTTTGTCACTATGAAGAGATTTTCAAAAATAATATTAATTGTATACATCATTCTTCTCTAAATGATTTCTCACAATTATTCTCTTTACTTTTTCTAACTTTCAGACAAATAAATGAATATTTAATTCTCTTAAAAAAAACTTTTAATACAAATAATTAAATATATAAATTCTCTCAACATAATGTGAAACTTGTGAATCGCACTTATCATTTAATTAGCCGTTACAATCCAAAGTAATTTAATTGTCAATATAATTTAATTGTCAATTAACATATCATAATTAAATATAATAATTCAATATAACAATATGTTATGCATATTCATACATAAAATATTTAACACAAGATACAATAAGATAATTAATTGATCATGATAATTAAAATTAATTAATTTAAAAATATTTGATCATTAAAATTAATTAAAAATATAACAATCAAATTATTATATCTCATTAAAACTTATATTAATTATAATTTAATACCAATAATTAATAATATAATTATTTAAAATTTTATTTAAATTATAATCTCATAAATTAATTAATCTTTTAAAATATCTCTACATGCGTGTGGAAGTTGCGGTGAAGTGCATTATCTCATTCTTGTCTAGAATCTTTATATCAAGATCTACTATTTATTTAGATATTTTAAATATAATGCGGAATGTTTAAATAAAGTGACATACCTTAAAAAAAACATTTGTAATGGATGAAAAATTAAAACAAAAAATCCTTAGTAAGCAACACAACAGTTTATTCGAATAAAATTAATACATAATACTTCAAATAAAAGGCTTTGAATCCTCCAAAGATTTTGATATGGAAAGGTTAAGAAATCTTTCGAGATATTATATTTTTCCACAGCTCTAGACTTGGTAATAAGTTAAATCAACTGCCCTTTATTATTTATAGCTGAAAAAGGAGGCCATCAAATAAAATGATGGATGCTTAGATAATATATTGACGAGAATGATGATAATATATTGTCTCATCTTTGGTACAAAACAGTTCTTGAAACAAGAAAAAATTATATTCGTTACAACATTTGTTCATTCATTTTGTCCTGTACATTTTGATCTTATGATATAGTACAACATTGAAGAACGAATACTCTTCATGAGATCATACTAAAATAGGAGTAAAACAGATAGCAAAAAAGAGAAAGGAAGTGCTACTGCTTTGCGTAATGGAAGACTCTAAATAATAACATCAAAGCATTTGAAATGTTATATCAACACCATGTATGGCAGCGAGAACCAGTAAAAAATAACTCTCGCTTGATTAAGCGACAACATAAATTGTATGAACTCGAATTAAAGGTTTGCCTGTCAGTCTCCCATTCTGCCTGCCGCGAACCATAATTTTATAGACAACGTATCTAAATCTTCCTTTCTACATCGTGCAAAAAGCAATTAAAACTGCAGAGAAATCAAAATTGTAAGCTAACATACTATTCCGAGAATGGGTGGAGAAAAGCAACGATAATTAAGAGTAAAATAATTGCAAAGGTAATTTAGAACTGCAAAGATAATCTCGGTCTTCCTTCGGCCTGTGATGCATGTGGAGAAAGCTTCAAACTAAGTAATAAGGGACCTTTTTGGATAAGTTTTTCCAGGAGCACTTTTAAAACAGAAAAATAAAAAGAAAAATCAAAATAAATTTTCCCATAAATTAAAATTAACTTATGCATGAGTTAATTATTTTTTTTTTAAGAAGTTAATAGGAGAAAATTTCTACAAAATATTCATAAGTTAATTTTAACTTATGGAGAAACTTATTTATTTTTTCTTCTTGCTCTCTTGGGATAGCTTCTAAAGAAGTTCACCCCAAACATATCCAACGACCAAGAAATAAGCATAAGGAAGCACAAAGGATACCCCTTGGTAGGTAAAAAATAGCCAACTATAAAATTTCTTGGTAAAAATTTAGAAGAGGCAAACATTACTAAACCTCACTTCACATTCACATTCAGGATCATTCTTATATGATATTTAAGAGCATGCAAGTGCATATATTTTGCAAACACACAGATCCATCGAGAGCCTACCAATCAAGCAAAGGAGAATAACAGCCCAGACAGTTATTTGAACATGCCGATTGTATTGCATTTGGTACTGAGATCTTTGAAGCTGCCTTTGCAAGGCCCCGTACCACCCGCGGAGTTGTTTGTCATAACATTCATCACAATTATCAAGGCAACTCTTACTTCTTTCAAAGTATGCATTGAGGCCCTTTATTTGGAAAAATAAACAGAGTATTAATAATTTGGCAAAAGCATGAAAAATACATAAGGAAATCTTCGTTAACAGGGTAAAAACAAAAACAGCTAAAGAACAAACCCCATTCATTCCAGCTGATGGTAGTAGTGTGTTATCCATTTCTTCACAATGATTTACTGCTTTAAGCTTTCTATAACCATTCTTAGACCACTTCAACTTAGAGATAGTTTCCATGGAACCAAAAAATCCAGAAAGACTGGCTACCTTATGCACAGGACCAGAAGAGCCATTGGAGGAAGTTGATTGTTGCACATTGTCAGCAACATTGATTTTCCAAGAACTAATATCAGCATCAGCACTAGCAGCCCTGCGATGGCCATGCAATTTCTCTGGCAATGCTTCGGACGAACCCCACCCAGATGAAACATGCAAATTGCTTGAACAATTACTGAACGAATCTTTATCACTTAACTGCAGATTTTCACCATCTGCGCTGACACATTCAATAGCGCTTTTCTCAGCAGCAGTTGGTGTTCCCGAAAGAAACGATGCAAGCTCATCTCGTTCTCCTTCGTCGAGACGTGTCCAAGGTAGAGATGCCTTGCTACTTGAATGAACAGATTCTTTTAACAAATGTTCAACATTGGTAATTTTGCCACCAATGGCATCAATAAAATCTCGGTGCCTATTTTTCGCATCCTCACTTGAAACTTTGTTATAACTTGTCCTAACTGCCCGTTCAAATTCCTCTAGCTGTATTATCCATCCAAATGCAAGCACATGCTCGTTATGATGATACAAAAAGCGAAACTATATTTACCAAGAGAAATTACCTGCCATTTAGCAGTGCCAAGGGCGGTTTGTAGATCTCGGCGGATTTCATCAGAGTTCCATGGGCTAGAGGAATCTCTCATTGCATGAACCCATGTTCTATACGTAGATTCCGTCCTTCAAAACACATCCATAACAAGCAAAATCTGAGCAATACAATTTTAAATTTTTACACAAATTAACATAAATACCTTGAGCCTTTCAATCTTTGATTTCAATTAGACGGGTGGGTAGAATTTTGCGGGTGCATCTGTTTCCTCTAAAGTAGAATTAATTGAAAAGGTTCTATTCTATTATCATTACATTTCCTTGGGGAAAATTTTAAGATTAAATAAAAGGGAAAAAAGAAATAGAAAACCTAATTGGACGAATGAGAGGTACCTGTCTGCAGATTCTTGAACTTCTTCGGCGGCGTTAAAGAAAGGATCTTTTTCCCATCGATCAAAACTTGACGCCATGAATATTGAATAATAATAATAATAATAATAATAATAATAATAATAATAATCAGAATATGGAATGAAAAAGTGGATGAATCCGATGTGTTACGTTGCAGACAGGGGAAAATGGTGGATCCGCCGATTAGTGGGAGGGACCGTGATTTGATTAAAAGAAGAAAAGTTCTTATTTTTGTTCTCCAAAATTATTTTGGGATAATCAACCAACCCAAAACTACGAATAATTGGATATACAGCTGCTACCGCGTCGTTTCCTACAGTACCTCGCTATCATTAGAATTTTGAAGCAAGAGCGATGAAGAAGCTTCTGTCAAAGTAAATGACCAATTTAATTCATGATGTACAGTTGGTCAATTTTATTTTTTTTCTAAATTTATTTATTTATTTTACATTGGTCAATTTATTTTTTAATATGGTCTTTCATACGTGCACAGGAGATTAAATAATTATTGAAATTTTAATTATTATTGACGGTTAAATTTGGAATTAAATATCATATTAATGCGTATTATATTTATTTGATATAACTTGTAAATATTTTTTTTATACATATGTAATCGAGAATCTAAGCTATAAAATTTATCATCTTAATGTTCGAATTGACCCTATACTATTTAGCTATCGCAACTTCAGACAAGCACATGAATTTGCTTAAAATAAATGTTTATTATTGAAGTATATCTTATAAAACATATATAAATCCTAATTATCTAATTCATTATGGTTTTAAGAAAGTAGTTAATTTATTTGATAAAAATAAATTTTTCGTTTAATTATCTAATAAATACTTATATATCTTCTTACCAATTGGAGTCTATATCTTATATTTTTTTTTTTAATTAATATTTATAATTTTTAAATCAAAATTAGAGTTAATTTTTTTAAGAGTTTAAAATTATTGTATTTATTAAATTAAATTAATATACTTTAATTAGTGATATTTTAGTCTAAAAATAATAATAATAAATAATATAAATTGTATCTTATATTAAAAATTAGTAATTATTTTAAGTTAGATCATATGAATAAGAATAGAAGTAATAATTCAAAGAAATTAATTTTTTTTTAAAATACATCTTAAACACTCTCCTTAAAAAAAGTAAAAAAATCATTGCTTAAAAACACTTCCCTTGAAATATCTATTATAATTTATTATACAAAATAAAGTTTTTTTATATTGTTTTAATAGTAAATAATTTTGTATTTTTAATAAACTTTTTAGAATTTCCAATTAAGTTTTTAAACTAAAAAATGGTAATTAGGTCTTCTTATATTTTATAATTAAATATTTTTAATATCTATATATCTATTTAGAAGGTATAAAGAAAATAAATATTTTAAAAATAAAATATGAAAATAAGTTTTAAAATTATAATTTAGCGAAAGCCAACCAGTTAATTTTTTTATAATTTTTTAATAATATAATAAAATATAAAAAAAATGAAAGGAATTTATATAAGTTTAAAACATTTGTACCAGGCCAGCCCACTTTATTCTTAAAATAACACGAAGGCAACCAATTGAACCAGAGTGGTCAATCCCCGCCTCTCTGCGTCACTCATCATTCGTTTGGGTTTTCCTCATTCGAGAGTCTCTCTGTTTCTTCGATAGCAACCCTCACACATCAATGTCTCTTTCGTTTAGGTTTTCCACTTTCGAAAGTCTCTCTGTTTCTTTGATAGCAACCGTCACACATCAATTCTGTTATAAAACTTAAATTAGGAAGTTTTTTTTTGCTTGGTATTCATAGAATAATATTAATGGTTTTAATTATGGCTGGCATTTGAAGATGCAAACGTTTTTTTTCTTTCTGCTATAAATACATGTAACATTTCATTTGAAATGCAATGAGAAGAAACAGAGAGTTTATTACTCATAATTCTATGCCTTATTTGTTGTTAACAAATTGGCATCAGAGCTTGTGTGTGTGAGGTGAGCGTGAGAGAACCTACAAACCTCAAGTGAGAACGTCGCGGTGTGCGCTGGCCAAGAGAGAGTGAAAAATGGTCGGTCTAACCAATGGCATCTCACTACCCAAATTGACGAAAGGCACCAACTATGACAACTGAAGATGCAGATGGAGGCCCTTCTTGGCTCCCAAGATAACTGGGATGTGGTCAAGACTGAGTATGAGGAACCGGGGAACACAGATGGATATTCAAATGCCCAGCTGAACGCGTTGAAGGCCGCTCGAGCTAAAGACAAGGCGGCTCTGTATCTGCTATGCCGAGCCGTCGACGAATCCAGTTTTGAGAAGATAGCCAACACAAAATCTTCCAAAGTAGCATGGGACATACTCGAAAAGGCGAACAAAGGAGACGAACGAGTAAAGCAAGTCCGGCTTCAAACCCTTAGGGGCGCGCTGGGAAACATGAGGATGAAAGAATCTGAAAGCGTATCCGAGTTCATTACTCGGGTGGAGACCGTGGTGAACAAGCTGAATCGGAATGGTGAGAGTCTTTCATCAAATCGAGTTGTTGAAAAGATTCTAAGGTCATTGACAGATGATTTCGAGAATGTTCTTACCGGAAATTTTCTGTAGAGCTGATCCGCTAGGTAAGATCGGTGAGCTTCCTTCGCTGGTACGCTTGATGCTCCAAGATGGGGGTTGTACCTGCAAAAGAGACTCTGATGCTAAAGTTATGGTTTGTATGAGTATGAAACTCGTATAAGTAATGCACATACCTTTGTGTGTATTAGGGTTTTGTTGGGCCTTGGACCTGAGATCAATTGTGATTTGATTAGGTAGAAGATCTCGCCTAGACCGAAATTCCCCAAGATCAGTTACGATCTATTTAAGTGCCGAGCTGAGGCCGCGTGGCGCGTGTCGGAGGTCAACTCGTGTTGTGGTACCGAGCTCGGAGCTCGGCTTCGGAGTACGGATAGTACACTAGCCCCCCGAGCTCCGAAGACCGTAGGTCGAGGAGTTAAGACTGAGCTCGTCGGGATCTATTTAAGTGCCGAGATGACGCCACGTGGCGTGTTAATGGAAGTGACGGTTATGTAAGGATGGTTTGCATTTGTCATGATGGTTTTCCATTAATGTGTCGTCAGAAGTGCCCCTTGGCTGACACGTGGCGTGGCCGTTTTGAATTTGGGAGAAAACCTTCTTTTCTCTCACTCGCGCCTCTTCACCTTTCACTTTAATTTTTTCGTTTTGTTTCTCCCTTGGCTTCTTGCGCAAGCTGCTTTGTGCACATTCGCTTCTGTCCCGTCTTCGACGCTGTTTTCACAGTTTCCGCCGTCGTTTCTGGTAACCCCGTCATTATTAGGGTTATTTTGTAAGGAAGAGTATCAGGTACTTCCTTTCTACAATTTTCTTTTTTCTTTTCCCCCAGATCTTCTCTTTCTTCTTCCCAAATCTTCTTTTTTCTTTAATGGCTGGTGGAAGTGGTGCCAGTTCTTCTGCGCCTGCCAGGGGCAAGGCACGCGGCAAGGTGGCAGTTACCGGGAAAGCCGCTGTCGAGAATAAGGACCCGCCTCCGCCCAAGGGCCTGGAGCCAGGCATCCCTGGTTACGACTGGGTCAGGCGTGAAATGGCGGGGGTCCAGAGCAATTTTCGCTCCTTTCTTGAGGTTAATGGGATCCCGAGATCGTGTAGGGTTTGTGACCCCTCCATTTCCCGGATGATCCGGCTTGAACCCTGTCAGGTCGGTGAGGGCGTGTATATGGGGAAGTCTACCGACCCTCCCCATTTCTATATGTACCACTGTTTTTTTAGGGATTTAGGTGTTTGTCTTCCCTTCACTTAGTTCGAGTGTGATTTTTTGAACTTTGTCAACTCGGCTCCTTGCCAGTTGCACCCCAATAGTTGGGGTTTTTTGAGGGCTTTTCAAGTCCTGTGTACAGTTTTAGGGATAGAGGTGTCTCTTCCCGTCTTCCTTCATTTTTACCAGTTGAAGTTAGGCGTTCCGCCATACGGCATACTATCTTTGAGTGGGAGTAGGGATGGGGGTTTGTTTACTCTCTACTCTCAGTCATACAAAAATTTCAAACAAGAGTTTTTCTGAGTCGCTCTTGTGAATATCGACCCATTGGAAGAGGGGGTGTTCTACTTCGGCGGGCTGCCAAAATTTCCCTTCTATTGGTGCCCCCGACCGTCTAGGTTTCATGGGGTGGGCCAAGTGAAGCTGACGACTTCGGAGGCGGCCGCCATCGAGAACCTCGCTGCGCTTTGAGAGTGAGTATTTTGTTTTTTTGTGGTTTGTTGGAGTTTGTGTAAATTCCCTTTGCTGATGTGTTTTATTTCCTGTCTGTAGGTATCATGGGGAAGAACTTGTGGCGTGAGCTAAAGCATCGCTACAATGTTACCGAGCTTGAGGTCCCCGAGCCTCGAGAGGAAGATGTTTCCCCCTTGAAAGTTAACCGAAAAAGAAAGAGGGGAGCGAAGGAGGTCGGGGGGACCTCTGCCCCTCCAGACGCCGAGGAGGTGACCTCTAAGGCCGCCGATGCTGGTGCGGTGGACCTTACCAAGAGTCCACCGCCCAAGGGGGCTGCTCAAGTGGCCCCTGAGGAGGTGGTTCAGACTGCCGAGCAGGTTGCTCAATCTGCCGAGGTGGTGAGTACCTTGTCTCTTCGACTTTTTGGTATCTTCTATTGTGCTTTTCTGTATTCTGACCTAGGGCCGTTTTCCGCAGGCAGGAGATGCTGTCGAGGCGGCGACCCAGGCTGCTGGGCCGGCCGCCCAGGCTGCCGAGGTGGTGGCTCCAGCCACCGAGCAGGTTGCCCATGCTGCTGAGGTAAGTAGTGTTCCTTGATTTTCATGATTTTCTGTATGTTGTCTTTTTTTTTTTCTTTTTTGACATGGCACTGGTTTTCGCAGGCAAGGTCAGAGGTTCCTATCGCAGACTTTCCATTTGCTGAGCAGGGGGCACCAGCTTCCGCCTCAGTCGAGGCTCGTGGCGAAGGGCCGAGTCTTGAGGTCCCCGTGTCCACCCTTGTAGCTTCGGCGCCGCCGTCTGGTTCGTCGCAAGAGGATTCCCGGAGCCGATACATATTGCACCGCTTCGGGAAGGGCCTCTCCAAGGTGCGATTGGATCATGTGAGCGCCTTGGCTGATATGGACTCGTTATGGAGCGCGGGGGTGATCGCTGAGAAGTTCTTCCCTCCAGGCTCGCTAAGCTCTGAGGACCAGGGGATGATAGATGAGGTCGGGCCTGTGGATAGCTTTGATGCTGCCCAGGTCCTTCTGCAAAGGGCTATGGCCATCATGGGCCATTGGAAACCTCAGTGGTCCAAGCAGCAGGCGGACCTTGCCAGACTGGGGGGCCAAGTTCAACCTCTAAGGGACGAGAACAAGGTCCTGAAGGGGGAGAATAAGGTTCTTAAGGAGGAGCACAAAGTCCTAAATGTCGAGCTCCGAGCTCATAAACAATGGCAAATTCTACAAATGGATGTGAAGTAGGCCTTTTTAAATGGAGTGCTGAAGGAGGAGGTGTACGTCGAGCAACCACTCGGGTACATGAAGAGAGGGGATGAAAAGAAGGTGCTGAGATTGAGAAAAGCCCTCTACGGGCTAAAGCAGGCTCCTCGTGCCTGGAATGAAAGAATTGATGGGTATTTCAAGAAAAACGGGTATGAGCAATGTCCTTACGAGCATGCCTTGTACATAAAGAAATCAGGAAAGGATATGATGGTAGTTGCTCTCTATGTCAACGACCTCATATTCACTGGAAGCAATGCAAAACTGATTAAGGAGTTCAAGGAGATTATGAAGAAAGAATTTGAGATGACAGACTTAGGCCTGATGAAATATTTTCTTGGCCTATAAGTGAAGCAATCTGATGAAGGGATTTTTATATCCCAAGAAAGGTATGCGCTTGAAATCTTAAAGAAGTTTAAAATGGAGGACTGCAACCCGGTTTCTACTCCAATGGAACCAGGCACGAAACTCTCAAAGTTTGATGGAGGAGAACGAGCTGATTCTGGGAGATATCGAAGCTTAATCGGAAGTCTGAGATACCTTACAAGCACGAGACCCGACTTAATGTTGAGTGTTGGGATAACGAGCAGATTCATGGAGGATCCAAGCTACACACATTGGAAGGCCTTAAAGAGAATTCTAAGATTTGTTCGAGGAACCTTATCACTTGGTCTTTTCTATTCAAAATCGGATGACTACCAATTAGTAGGTTACTCGGATAATGATTGGTGTGGAGATGTTGATGATCGGAAAAGTACTTCGGGTTATGTATTCCTACTCGGGAATACGACTTTTACTTGGCTATCAAAGAAGCAGTTCATTGTAACTCTGTCAACCTGCGAGGTCGAGTACGTGGCGGCCTCTTGGAGCGTATGTCATGCAGTCTGGCTTTCAAATTTATTAAGGCATATGAGAGTGATCCGAGATGAAAGGATTATGATCCGAGTTGATAACAAGTCGGCGATCGAGTTGGCAAAGAAACCGGTTAAGCACAGAAGGAGCAAGTATATCGACGTCTGATTTCATTTCATCCGAGAACAGATCAGAGAAGGAAAGGTCGAGTTGGAGCATGTCGAAAGCCGAGCTCAAGCTGCGGACATATTCACCAAGCCACGGCCAACCACACTGCTCGAGAATTGTAAAAGGCTGATTGGAATGAGAGATGGGAAAAATATTTAAGTTTAAGGGGGAGATTTGTTATAAAACTTAAATTATGAAGTTTTTTTTTGCTTGGTATTCCTAGAATAATATTAATGGTTTTAATTATGGGTGACATTTGAAGAAGCAAACGTTTTTTTTTTCTGCTATAAATACATGTAACATTTCATTTGAAATGCAATGAGAAGAAACAGAGAGTTTATTACTCCCAATTCTATGCCTTATTTGTTGTTAACAAATTCATCTCCGATAGATGTCATCATTATTCTTTCCCTTTTCTTCGATCTTTACAATTCAGATTCGACCAGGTTTTCAATTTCTTGTTTGATTTCTTTCTGATTGTTGTTTTATTTCTTCCTGATTCTTGTTTATCTTTGCTTGCTACTCGCTAGGGTTTTTCTCTTTGTTCCTCATTCCGGAGACCTTGGCCGATGGAGGATTAAACTGAAGTAATGTTATGCGTTTATCTGCTTTTCAATTTCTTGTTGATTCTTGTTTTTCTTTGATTCAAGAATTGTGTTCTTTGTATGTCTACATCTAGCAACAAAGTATAGTTTGTTGATGCTTTATTGTTGTTTCTTTTATTTTTATCTGCGCCTAAAATAGCTTTATACTTTTGTTTTTAATCGATTTTCTGGTTATGTTATAACATCAAATCACAATTTTGAAAGGATATAAATTGAGTTTGTTCTGCCCAATAGTTTGATTGATATTCCATCGTGCATTACAAACTACATTTGGTACTTGTGCATGACATGGGTATGTATGTCTATTTTGTTCTTATATTATTAATCAAATTTACAAATTTCCAATCTTGCAAATTTAAGCCTTGAGGTGTTTAGTAAGGTTGAGGTTTGTGTGTTAAAATCCCACATTAGTTAGGCATATAACAGTTACAATGGTGTTTTTAATTACTTATGCAATCCTCTTCCCTTGAGGCAAAGTATCAGAGTTGAGATGAACCCAATTTGTTTTCCATTAGTCATTCTATTCTGTTTATTGTAGTTTAGCTGTCTGATGGCAGGTTGAATGGTTGTTTTTTTTTTCTTTTCTCATCCTCATATGTGTTGTATTTATTCTGTTTTCCTCGTTTATTGGAAAAGAATTTATTGGTTTTGCATAATGTAGTATCACAACATGAGTTCAATTCTCGTGAGAGTGATTGACGTTTCACTAATTTCACTAATTTCGTGGGAGGATTGCAACAATGATAGTAGCTGCAATTTGATGGTGGAGGTATGTGGCAAATTTATTTGTAATTTATATTCTAGACCATTTATATATATTTGGGTAAAGAGATAAACTAAATACAAAACAAATTAAAAAATATAAAGGAGGGGAAGTCCTCTTACATAGTGTTCGGAACCATTCTAACTAAGAAATTTGCACAATAATTCCCTTATCTTGTGTGAAGAAATCTTAAGGATCTTTTTAATATATTTTTAAATAAAAGTTTTACATCTTTTCATAATGTGAGTGCTCTGACAATTTATTTCTAATACTCATCATTATCTATTGAAATTTATTAAAAATGCAAATCTTAAGGAGATGCCGAACCCATTATGGTTTATGGTTTTTATTAAATTAAAAATACATCTAGTCATAGTTGATAACATTCTTCTTTTAATAAATAAGATAATAGTTTCTTTTAATTATTTACAAATTAAAAATTTATTTAGTCATGGATTTGGGTTATAGATTATATTTTCATGCACGGGAGTTAAGATCGTGGAATCATCTAATTCTACGAGACGCGATGCTGTCACCTTGCATATAATCATATAGTATATAAAAAATAAATAATTTTCATCTCAATATCTAAAGAATTGTATAGTAAAGAAAAGATTTCCTTTCAGACACATTATTATTGATTAAATTTTATTACAAATTTCAGACACATTATTATTGATTAAATTTTATTGAAAATCACAATCTTGAGAAGATATGAAACCCATCAAGATTTTTGATTTTTTAATAAATTTTAGTTAATTAAAGAGAGTTAGAAAGACAAAGTGTTGAGGACAATGTTATTAACATTCTATCAATAAATTAGAAAATAATTATAGTAATTTTATTCTATTCTTTTACATGTACAAGAAAATAAAATTCAATTCTCTGTTAAGAAATCATTGATCAAGAAGTTTGATAACAAGTTTAGTCAATTACTTGAAGAAGGTTTTATATCTCATTCAAAATGTGTTACTAACTCAAAATAAAGTAAAAATTAAAACAACATTACTTTTAAATAAGATTTTTTAAAGATATTTTGAATATAAACAAAGAAAATATCTTGATTGATTAGTTGATTTCATATTATATTTTTTAAAATGATTTATCTTCAATATTATATTTGTTAAAAATATTTATATTGTTTATTTTAAATTATAATTTTTGTCACTTATTTTATTTTAGATGTTATTGGACATGTCCAACAAAAGGATGACATTAAGGAAAATGAAAAAATGTAAAAAAACACAAATTCATGTTCTTGTTCTTCAAGATTTAAAGTATTAATTTATTTGTTTTGTTAAATCATACAATATTAATTAATTTAATATTTGACATTTTACTAATATTTTAAAACTTTATATGTTTTTTTTAACAAGCTTACTAAAGGTACGCTATTTGAGAAAGTTACGTTGATAAAATGCATCACCCATTTGATGAACATAATTTTAATGGTCCTATCATATTAATTTTTAATAGTTTACCGACAAATATAATATTTAGGTTAAATTTGATAAATTCTAAATTTTATTTAATTTATTGATATATGTATTGTATTTATGATAAAAGACAATTTATTTATGCAGTAAAAAATCATGCATTATTGTAGAAAAAATAGAAATCATTTTGTGAAGTTGAAAATTCGATTTCTTTTAGATTTTTAATTATGTTTTATTTAATTTATTCATTTAAATATAGCAATTATAAAAATTGGTTATAAATTTTAAATGTTAATTTTAATTATGACAATATCAAAATTATTATTGAATATTTGGTTTAATTTATAACAAAATCATATCTTTAATTTAATTAATGTGTTTTAAGATGGATTGAAAACTTTAATTTTACCTTTTTTCCACGATTTTTTTATTTTTAAACAAACAAAAAATATTAGTATAATATACATCATGTTATAAAATATGATAAAAAAGTAGCTTTATTTTTTAATTTAATGATCATATTTTGTAATAAATATATTCATTAAAATGAATCAAATCAATTTCAGAGAATTTAGAAATAAAATTGAATGTTTTATCAAAGTTTAATATCTTTATAAATAAATAATTAAAATAAACATAATTAAATTAATGAAAAAAATTATTTGTATTAAATATTATGATTTTTAATATTATTTTTAATTTATTCTTAATATTACTATATTTTATATTTATTGATGTTTTTGATATTTATTTATATAATTAATTAAATACTATTTCATCAAATTTATTAAAAGAAATCGTGAATCATACGGTTCTAATTTTTCAATTATAAAAAGATTTGGCGGGATTGAGTGATGCTCTCTTTGCGAACCCTTTAAATTTGTCCGGAACGAAAATAAACACTGCATAAGGGGATCTTACTTTCTTAATTCTATTTTGCTTTTGATTTTTCTTTTTCCCCCATTCCAGAAAGCAAAAGGTGATCTTTCTTTCTTAATTTTAATTTATAGCAAGAAATGCGATGCACGGCAACAACATATGTTCAGACCAAGTGATTGTAGAAATAATTGAAATGGGTTTTGAGTATTCAAATATGGTCGAAGCCATTAAAGGAGTGGGTCTCTCTGTTCCTAGTGTTGTGGAGCACATCCTCAACACCCCCAAATTGCAAGAACACAACAAGAACCCTCTCAGAAGACAACCTTTGCGCACGTGTCGTCTAGTTCGGCAGGCCAAGGTATTCGACCATTTCCACTCCAATGATGTCCAAGAACACACTGAGGATTTCCCTGATCCCATTCCATTTGTGCTTTCAGAGCCATTTCAAGTTCAAGATTTGGATGTTGCATCAGATTGGGAGCGGAAAGTTAGCAACCTGATGGAAAAGCATTTTGGGTTTTCATCCTTGAAGAGTTTTCAGAAGGAAGCCCTCTCTTCCTGGCTTGGTCATAAAGACTTGTCCTCGCTGCAACAGGATCTAGTTTTGTTCTTTAATTATTCAATATTTGCGCCTACGACATGTTTGGATAATTTTTTCTTGAATCATTTTTAAAATAAAAAATAGAAAATAAAAATGAAAATAAATTTCCCTGTAAGCTAAAACTAACTGATGCATGAATTTAAATAAGATTTTGAAAAAGTTACGAAAGAACTATAATATGACTTATAAATAAGTTAATTTTAGTTTATAAAAATTTTATTTCATTTTTACTTCTTAACTTGCTACACTAAAAGTAAAGATATCGTTACTTACTAGGTTCTTGAGTTTTTGTGCATTTATTTATAATTATGTTTTTGGCACAGACAAGTCTCTATGCTTTCGGATTCCTGCATTGTTGTCGGGGAAAGTGGTGGTTGTGATTTCACCCTTGATAAGCCTCATGCACGACCAGTGTTTAAAGCTAACAAAAGATGGAATCAGTGCGTGCTTTCTTTGTTCGGGGCAACCTGATGATACTGTTGAACAGAAAGCAATGAGAGGCTTGTATAATATAGTTTATGTCTGCCCAGAGTCAGTGTTGAGGTATGGTTTGGAGCCTTGATCTGCCTGACCTAAGTTTCAGTGAATAAAAGTTGATCTTGAAGTCCATCGCATGTCTTAAAAGTTGGCTTTTTGACTCGTTTAATGTTTTGTAACAACGCTGCAATGTTTTGTAGATTGATTCAACCACGCAAAAGCTTTCAGAAAGTTGCGGAATTGCTTTATTTACAATTGACGAGGTACATTGTGTTTCTGAATAGGATCATGATTTCCGTCCAGAGTACAAGTCTGTTTTCTTGTGTTTCCTTATTGTTCATGGCTTGCTCAGATGAACTGGATTGATGAGTTTACATAAAACATCTTAAATGATTGTAAATGTAACTTATGATTTGCATATTGAAGAAAGGTAGATCATTTATTGGTTATTTTGATTGGTTATCATGCATATTTCATTTGTTATTTGTTTGGTGCACACTTCACAATTTATTTAATGTTTAGTCTGCCGTGAATGTCATAAGTTTGACCTGTTTTGAATTTTTTTTTTGTTTTAGCAGACTGTGTGCTGCGGGAGAATTTCAGTGCTAGTAAGCTAAAATCCATGGAATTTGATATACCTCTGATGGCCTTGACAGCTACGGCTACAAAAGTAGTTCATTAAGACATTTTAAAATCACTATGCATGTCAAAAGAAACGAATGTTGTTCTTACATCGTTTTTTCGATCTAATTTACGCTTCATGGTGAGTTTGTTAATTATAACTTGTACATTCATCTCTGAATATAAAATCTTGTTACACTTTAAATTTACTGTGGCTTCATACAGGTGAAGGATAATCGAACATCAAAGGCTTCTTATGCAAAAGACTTTGGTGAATTGATTGAAGTATATATGGTAGAAAGCAAAATATTGATGGAAATGAAAGGCTTTCATGTCAAATGATTCTGATTATGTTTCTCATGGCTCCGATGCTTGTAGTAGCTCTGATAGAGACAGTGTTTCTTTTGATGATGTGGATGACAACCAAGATGATTATGCTTACAAGATGATTTTTTAATGGTAAGAGAATTGTCAGTTGAGTTCCTGGAAAATGATATGGATGTTGTTCAAAATGTGGGTAATTCAGATGGTACAAACTACAAATGTTACTGCTATTACTGACTTTATCATAAATAATTTAGTTAAGAAATTGAATTTAATTTTGATACAAATAATTAAGGAAATCAGTCACATTGACATGCATAATTCCTAATCATATGTATTGTTACATTTTATAAATGCAGTTACCCATGGTGAAAAGCCTCCTCACATGGGATTGGAATTACCTGAGGCAATTGATCCACCTAAGAAACCAGAAGGAAGACTTAAATTTCTTAAAGAGCCTTTGGAACACGGACCAGCAATCATATATGTATCCACCAGAAAAGAAACTTTGAGAATTGCAAAGTTTCTATGCAAGTTTGGTGTGAAGGCTGCTACTTATAATGCAGGGGTATGGGTTATACATTGTACTCTGTATCTTGTTTGATTAGATGGTAGTGAATTAGAATTTATCAGGTTGACCATGTTAATTGACAAGAGAATCTTCAATTCTAAGACATCATGAATTATTAGAAGCAGAATTTTAAAATTTATTTGTCGTTTTCTCTTCTGTTTTAATTTGAAACTATTATGGTATGCCCTATTTTGGATTTCATCAAATTAAGCTTGATAATTATCGGAGAAATGTTTGCTGCACATTCTCCCCACTCACCATTTGATTTATGTTGTTTGTTAGGTTTTAAACTAATTTATGAGCACAATCTCATTTTCATGAAAGTACTTTAGAGGTATGTTTCCAGAGCTTGAAGTAAATATTGTAGATGTTTCATGGGAGGGGGGTTTTAAAGAGGCGCAAAAGTGTTATATTTGAATTGAGCTGGCCAGTTATCAGTTATGGTATGGTATCATTGTATCTTTTGATATTTGTGGTGTGCTATTCACATAACTACTACATAAATGAATGGAACTTATTATTTGATTTAGATGGGCTTTCTGATTTTCAGGTTTTTGCATACCAAATCTCTTCATCCCCCTTCCCGAATGTCATCTGACTTTGATGGCTTTGGCTGTTTGAAGCCCTGCCATGCTTATTATACATCTAAGTTTTGTGTTTCTTTGTAATTGATTGTTTTTTACTGCATAAGTCTTGACATAATCAAGCGCCCAAAAAAATGAAGAACTGAATTTTGTGAAAGTTTGGTGATTTTGAGACACATATCTGAATTGTTTTTACCCTTGTTTATTCCTATGTTGTTTGTGTTTACTGCATAATTTCAATCATTTCCTTCATTCTGGAACCATAAAAAGTTTTTCCAAATAACATTTTTGTTGTATGCATGTGTATTATCAATCAGGTTATTATTGCTTTGATAGCTTTTGGAATGGGTATTGACAAAGGAAAAATGTCAGAAGAATCATCGACTATGGTTGGTCACAAGTTTGTTTTTAAAGTACATTTCTCCTGGCATTATTAATTATAGAGTTGAAGAAATCTCAAATAGTTGGATATGTATTTTTTAATGAGTTTGGAAGACTACTGCCCAAAAGCTGGACGGGTCGGTCAACATGGGAAATTTGCAGATTGCAGTAAGTTTAACTATACTAGAATATAATTTTTACCTTGCCATTTAGATCCACTTTAAAAATGGGCCACCCACGATTGATGCATGTCTCATAGGCATGAGGGGGTGTATTGGGAAAAATCCAAGTCCCGCCAATCCTAGATCATTAAAAAGGGCCACCCACCATTTATCCACGTACCAAGCCCAATAGTGCTGGACGTGAGGGGGTGTATTGGGAAAAACCCAAGTCCCACATCGACTAAAGATTAGGCAATTGAATAATATATAAGTGGAAAGCAACATGCACTTTTCCTTTGTTCTTCTCTCAGCTTTTTGGTTAGATTTTAAACTTATATTACGTCCTTGATTCACACAAGTAGTATGTTGCTTATTGTTCTTTTTATTTTTTATTTTTTATGTTTTATTTTTATTTTTATAGCACTATTTACATTTGGCCAACAATCAGATCTGTATGCAAACATAGGAAGCAAGCCGTCACGTTTGCCTAGTTGGAAAATTGAAGAGCCAGATGAAGCAAGCCTATATCATGTTGTCTGATTGTTTCAGATTTGCTTTTATAAATACATCTGTCTATTTTCTGTTTTATTTAATACGGAATCTTAATGTATATTTTCAGATATATAATGAATACTTCATGTTGTCGAGCAAAGATGTTGAATACTTTGGAGAGGATTTCAGTCATTGGAGATGTCTCTAGTATGTGAAGTTGTGTATCAATGACTTACTGTTTTATTATGTTTCAGCATCTATTGAGTGAAAAGATATTCTAAAATAGAATAGCTTGTCCTGAGTTACCTATCTTGATTATTGCATTAGCATATTTGCTTCATTTTGTATTTAAGGGATTATCTTGTGGCTGTTTTCACTGGCAGTTAGTAAAATATGTTTGAGTCATTTATTAATGCATGTTAGCCTTCATTTTGTAGCTTTCCTTATGAGCCCCGTTTCTTGCTGCTGTCACTTGTGCATTAATGGTCCACCACAAAGACTATCTAAAAGAAGATGTAGTTGATCTAATGAGCAGGTACAAGCCAAAGCTTGAGACAGCAAGTTTGTTGGAAATAAGGTGCTTTTTTATGCTTATATAGTGCCCCTTTTTTCTTTTTATTTGCATTTATTATGCTCATGTTAATCTCTAACTAGTCTCATGGACAAGTGTTTTATCATAAAATAATTGATACCTTTTTAATTTGTACAAATGTATCCCAAAGCCTTCGTGGTCCTGACTTGCATTATGGGAGGTGGAACACTCTTGATGTTTGTGGTCGAGCAATGTTAGAGAGTTTCCATTGAGATCTTTGAAGAGAACTGTGAGTGGGAAGATAAAAACATTACACCATTGCAGATACGGATATCTATTAGGTAATCTTTCCTTTAATTTTAAGCATTTTGATTGCAAGAAAATTTCTATTTTTCTTTTCTTTATAACTATAAACTTTTATTCTTTTCATATTATTATTAAACAATAATTGTTAAAAATATCTTTATTTAAATAATATTTTTAATTTAAATATTAGAGGATATATCAAATCAAACTGTAACATCCCAAATTTTATTCAATGAAAAAGGTTATTTTCCTGACCGTCGATAGCAGTGACTAATTTCCTCGCTTCGATAGCTGGTCCCAAGATTTAACGCGACTGCATACACAAGATAGGGTTCAAACCTTTGACCTTGCTTAAGCGTAGATCAACCCCTACCGCTGAACCACACGTTTGGGGTTTTATATAACAATATTTAATAAAGTTTCAAAAAAAATTAAATATAAATACTTAAATAAAAAATTTAAAATTATAATTTAAAAATATCAATTTAGTCGTTTGAAGAAGTTCACAATATGGCTAATTTTGTACATCAATTTATATTCGCATGAATGAATGACTAATGACTAGAGCTGTCAAAACGGGCCAGCCCGGCCCGTTTGGCCCGGCCCACCTCAATCCACTTTTTAAGTAGGCCAACCCGGCCCGGCCCACCAAATATATTATGCAAATTTTTCTAGCCACCTTTACTGGAGGCAGCAGATCGAACCAGTCATCAAGTCCCACAAACTTCAACGATTTTTGGTTAATCCGCAAATTCCACCTCGGTATTTGACCGATGCTGATCGTGATTCTGATATTGTTAATCCAGCATATGAAACCTGGGAGGTCCAGGATCAAATGCTTCTCACATGGCTGCAATCGACGCTCTCGAAGACCATTCTCTCACGTGTCATTGGCTCCGTTCACTCTTATCAAGTGTGGGACAAGGTTCATGAGTATTTTCATACTCAAACTAAAGCTCGTGCACGACAGCTCTGCACTAATTTGTGTTCCACCACTCTTGATGGTAAATCAATGCATGACTTTTTGACTCAAATCAAAAATATTGCTGATGAACTTGCTGGAGTTGGGAGTCCTGTGTCACTTGAGAATATGTTGATGCTGTTCTTGAAGGTCTGCCTCAAGAATATGCACCTGTGGTCTCTGTTACTGAAAGCAAGTTCGTCACTCCTCCTATTGCTGAAGTGGAAGCTCTTCTTCTTGCTCATGAGTCAAGAGCTAACCGGTTCCGTAAGCAATCTTTTTCTCCTTCTATTAATTACACTCAGGGCTAATCTCGTGGCAGTATTAGTGGTGAATCTTTTAGAGATCGAGGTGGTGGTCACAGTGGGTGTCGCGGTGGTCGAGGTTCGGGCAGAGGCCGTGGTGGTCGATTTGCAAATTTTCAGTGCCAGATTTGCTTCAAGTATGGCCATACTGCCAATGTTTGTTTCTACAGAGCTGATGTTAATTATCAACCTATAGAATCCCTTGTTCTGTATGATCCTACCACACTGCAGCCTGTGTAGGTCACTCCTTCTTCAAATCTTAAGGTCTCCAACACTTGGGTGAATCCTAATCAGAAACAGCCCAGCCAGGATGCTCATGCCAATGTCACACCAAGTGCTATGGTTGCTAATACTTCTCAAGCAGGTGCTAACTCTTCATGGATTCCTGATTCTGGTGCTTCATTTCATGTTACTGGTGAGCCTCAGAACATTCATTAGCTTGAGCATTTTGATGGTCCAGACCAAATCTTCATAGGAAATGGTCAAGGTTTGCAAATCAATGGTTCTGGTTCTTCCCTTTTTGTTTCTCCTATTAACTCTCAATTTAAGTTTCAGTTGAATAATCTTCTTCATGTTCCCCTTATCACCAAAAATCTGTTGAGTGTTAGTAAGTTTGCTAAAGACAATTGTGTTTTCTTTGAGTTTCATGCTAATCATTTCCTTGTCAAATCTCAAGAAACCAATGAGGTTCTTCTTCAAGGTATTGTTGGTGCTGATGGGCTTTATTCTTTTCCAAATCTAAAGCTCCAAAGTCCCTCAACATTGGTCTCTTCTTTAGCTAAAATACCCTCTCAGTCTGCTGTCTCAGCCTCTACAATTTTAGATAATTTCAATTTAAATAAAAGTTCTGATGTATCTAGTTCTTCCACTATGTGGCATACTAGGCTAGGTCATCCTAATTCTCATGTTCTTAAGCTTGTTCTTACACAATGTAACCTTCTCCCATCAAATACATATGTTACTGAATTTTGCTCATCTTGTTGTGTTGGAAAGTCTTATAGACTTCCTTCTTCTGCGTCTCAAACTGTATATTCTGCTCCCTTGGATTTAATTTTCACTGATTTGTGGGGACTATCTCACATTACATCTTTTTCTGGTTATATTTACTATGTTTCCTTCATTGATGCATTCTCTAAGTACACCTGGATATATCCCTTAAAATCAAAAGCTGAAACTCTCTCTATTTTTCAACAATTTAAGGCTATGGCTGAACTATAAATTCAAACACCAATATTAAAAGTGTTCAATCTGATTGGGGAGGGGAATACCGAGCTTTTCAATTGATATTTGAACAGAGCTGGACTCAAGGTTCCATAATCCAAAGGTTTGCTTTTTATTATTTATAATCTTATTTGCATATACATATTCCATAATTTGCTTTCAAAATTATTATAAGGCGACAATATAGAGTTTATTATATTCTTTTAATATGTATCATAAATTGACCCAAAATAATTTTTTTCTCTTTATATATTAATTGTCCATTTATTTAATTTAATTTTTTTAATAACATAAATATTTTTCTATATGTTTTTCTAAATTGATTATTTTAAAATATGCAATTTCCTATCTTTTAAGAAATAAATAATAATTTTATAATCATTTCTTAATAATTTATTTATATTATTCTCGTATAAACATAAAAAATAAATAATTAAGAGAGCTTCTAAATAGAATCTGTTTAATGGTGAGGGATTGTAAATTTGCAATTATATATGTAAGATATGGAGTTTGAACTTTAAGATTATTATTGTAATTATTATTGGTAAAAAAAAATTAGCAAACTTTTATGTAAACTACGTGCCTGGTTAATTTTAACTTTAGTAAAACTCAATTTATTTTATATAATTATACTTCACAGATATGTTTTATATTTTAACAGAAAAATATTAAAATATTAATTATTGATTATTCATTTAACAATTATAACATTATATTAATTTAATTTTTGAAATCAAATTCTTTATTATTTTATTTAAAATGAGGTCACTAAAGGGGTGTATGAAAAGAAATGAAAAGGAAAAAAAAAGTAGAATAATATAATTTTTAGATTATTTTTCTATAAATAAATAATTATATTGTATAGATTTCGAAAATTGTTTATATATAAATTAGAATAATTATATTAAACGAGTTTAGAAATTTTTTTTAATAAAAATGTTTTTGAAGAGTTTCTTTAATCACTTTTTTTTTATTTATCAATTGTTATTTGTTAAATTTAATTTTAACATATATATTAAAAAATTTCAATGATTAAAAGAGTTTTATATAACAATATAAATTATTTATAATAAATTTAAAATATAATTTTTATATAAAAATATTTGTTATTTATAAATTTGAATTACATAAAATAAATATTTATATTTATATTAAAATAAACAAAATTATAACAACAAAAAGAATTTAATATTTAAAACTTATAGGGATTGTAATTTTTGTTACCAATATTTTGAACAAAATATTTAATAGTATTTACTTAGTAATAAATGCGAGAAATTGTTCGACAAAATATTTATCTTTTTTTGCCTTCCACTGACCGAACTCACAATCCATTCCACCGCCGAGTTTATTTTTCTCTCTCGCTCTCAGTTTATAACTATTGTGATTAATTCGTTTGGATTTTTCTGTAGTGCCTTGCGGCTCTTTCGTCTGCTTCTCTCTTCGAAGTTCAATGGCCGCGGAGAAACAAGATTAGGACAACTCAAAGAAGCCAAAGAACACGGAGAAGTCTAAGCAGAACTTTCATACATGGATGTACCTCTTCCATCTCTTTCTTTTCTCTTCTTTACCTTGTGATTACTTTTCCTTCTTTGATCTTGCTCTTCTCTTCTTCTTTACCTTGTGATTGCTTTTCTTTCTTGTATTCTTGTTTTTATGTTTTCTGATTCTCTCTTTTTTTTTTCTTTTGTTTGGAGTGCTCTGAGAGACTGGATCCTTCGCTGTCCTTATTGCTGTTCTTGATTCCTCTTTCTGGGTCTTTCTTTCTTGAACTTGCGTTTTCTTGTTTTCAAAACTGGTGTTTTTTTTTTATTCATTTTGATTGCATGCAAAAACAGAATCATAAATTGATTTTGAACCATAAATTGATTTTAAACTAGACTGATTTTAAAATTGATTTTTCAGGCAAATTGGTTTCACAAGAATTAAAATTATCAATTGATTTTAAACAGATTAAAAATAATAAACAAGTCTGCATTTAAGATAAATCTGAATATCATTTATTTTGTTAAAATTAGTTTAAAAAACTCATTTATGATTGTAACCTAGCTTTGAAACCCAACCGGATTTCTAATCATAAACTGGTTTTAAAACCAATTTTAAATTTGAAAATTCAGAAAAGTTATTTTGCTGATTAGAATGAACAATGTTGGAATTGCTCAATTAGGTTGATGGTTTCAGTAGTGATGACAAAATTATGTCTTGTCTATATTTATTATTGTCTATATGTTTATTGTTTCAATAGTGATGACAGAATTATGCCTTCTTTACCTTGTTATTGCCTGGTCGGAAAAGTGAAGAACAGATGAAACATGCATATATCATGTTGTCTGATTGTTTCAGGTTTGCTTTGATAAATACATCTTTGTCTTTTTCTGTTTTATTTAGCATGGAATCTTAATGTATATTTTCAGATATGTAAAGAATACTTCATGGTTGAATACTTTGGAGAGGATTTCAGTCATCAGAAATGTCTCTTGTATGTGAAGTTCTGTGTCAATGCCTTGCAGTATTATTATGTTTCAGCATTCACTTAAGTGAAAAGATATTCTAAAATATAATAGCTTGTATTGAGTTACCTACCTTGATTATTGCATTAGGATATTTGCTTCATTTTGTAATTAAGGGGTTATCTTATGGCAACGTGGCTGTTTTTTACTGGTAGCGAGTTAATTTGTTTATTAATGCATGTTAGCCTTAATATTGTCACTTTCCTTATGAACCCCCTTTCATGCAGATGTGACGGGTGCATCAATGTTCCACCACAACGGCTGAATCTAAAAGAAGAGGCCTGTATTTTACTACAAACTGTAGGTGCCCATAATGTAAGTTGTATAGTTTCAATTTTATATCAACTACACTATCGATTAATTCTGTCTTACTCTTACATGTGAATTTATATCAAAATATTGGCTTTTGGATTTTCACAGGATATTTTTCATACTTATGTACCTCTTGCTACTTAATGTGTATTTTGTGTCTATTTCTAAGGGTTAAGTTTCAATATGATAAATTGATTAAAAAAATGCTTTGTTTTGTGGAGTTCCTGGATCTTTAGTTTAAGAGCTCAAGTTTTGTGGAAAGATTACTTTCTTTAGTCTGTAAGAGGAAAGAAAATGAAGTGACATTGTTATTTTTTTCAGGTATGTAATGATTCCTTGGATTGCTCATATGAAGATGATATATATTCTGGCTCCAAACATAGAGGACTAAGAGAGAGGCCAAACCTTAAGGTGTTAGTTGGAAAAATAAGGCAGCAGGTGAACCTAGTTATAATTGTCATTTCTTATTGTTTGTTACGTTGGATATTCTGTCTTGTTGCCTATCTATGTAACCAGTTTTATTTTCATACTTGAATGTCTGTATACAGTTAACCACTTATATATTATGGTGGAGAGGTCTTGCTCGATTATTGGAAACTAAAGGATTCATAAGGGAAGGAGATGACAAGGTATAATTAATTGCTTTACTTAGAAGTAACTTATCCTTATAGCTTTTATATATAATAGTAGAAGTGAGGTCATGTCCTTATGTATTTTATTCAAATAAAAAATAAAAAAATGATAGAGTAAACAGAAGTTAAGATACAAAAAGTGGTCATTTGTAGTTGAAAAGACAAAATAGTCTAATCAAAATGTTTACATGAAAGATGCCTTTATTAATAGTACTCATAAAAAAGAACTTTATATATTTATAATTATCAAATTGTGCTCATAAATTTCATGGTGGAAATTGCTGGATTTGTTACCTCTAAAAATCAACAAATGATGTATACAATTGAGTAGTGATCCTACGAGAAGGTGATTTTCAATAGAAAAATGCTAACATCATATTTCTACACACTACCCAACACACTTCCTATTATTATGAGATCCATATAAATTTAACTCATTAATAGAAAGTGTTACCTATTATTATGAAATCCATATAAATTTAACTCATTAATAGAAACTCTTTAATCTCTAGCTAGTCTCATGGACACGACTTATGTTTTATTATAAAATAGTTGATACCTTTAATTTTTAATTTGTATGTACAAATGGATCCCGAAGCTTTGGTGGCCCCAGACCTACTTTACCCTTGATGTTGTGGTCCTAATGTTAGAGAGCTTCCATTAAGGTCTTGGAAGAGAACTGAGTGGGAAGATAAAAACCACTGCATCATTGCAGATACACATGATATCTACAAGGTAATCTTTCCTTTAGTTTTAAGTTTTTTGATTGCAATAAAAATTCTATTTTTTTTCAATCAAAACTTTAAAATTTTATTCTTTTCATCTTATTGTTAAATAATATTTATTAAAATTATCTTATTTAAATAATTTTTTTATTTAAATGTTAGACCATACATTAAATCAAACTACATCACTAAATAAAAATATCTCTGTTCAAATCACATAAAGGAAAATTACATGTTTCTAATTATTGTTTTATCGGTAAGATCTAGAAAAAAAATATTTGGATAATTCTTAGAAATACGGTATAGCATTGTTTAACCACTATAGAAAGGTGAGACAAAGAATTGTTTTATGGTATTTTTATGTTACTGTGCTATTCCTTTTTTTGTTCTTCTTTGCAATACGGTATAGCATGTAGATGTGATGATATTTTGGTTAATGTAGTTAGATAGATGCTCGAACTTGTTTGGTTAGATATAGATGTATAGATTTGAATTTTAATTTTTAAACTTGAATTAAATTGACATGTTTAATCCAATATGATCGTTGACTAGAATAATTTTCTTTTAAAAAAAAAACTTATAGAAAGATGATGTCTTTTATTTTAGTTTTCAAAATTATTATAAGTTGACAATATATATAGAGTCTATTATATTCTTTTATTATGTATAATAAACTGGCCCAAAGTAAGTTGTTTTTCTTTTATTTAATTTAATTTTTTTAAAACAATAAATGTTTTTTTTCTTTCTATTTTTCTATACGTTTGTCTAAATTGATTATTTTATAAATAAACCATTATCTGTCTTTTAAGAAATAAATAAATAATAATTTTATAGTCATTTTTATTTAAAGGTTTAAATAAGCATAGAGAAAAATTAAATAAGAGTTTCTGAATTATTAGGATCAGAGGGATTGCAATTACATACATATGATGTGGAGTTTGAACATTAAAGTTGTGATTGTTAAAAAAGTTAGAAAGCTTTGATGAAAACTATGTGTATGAGTGAATTTTATCATTCACTTTAGATGAAAAAATATTAAAATATTATATATATATATATATATTTTTTATAATTATATATAATGATAATGATTTTATATTATGTTTTGTGAATTTTTTATCTGTGTGTATAACCATTGCAGCATACTTATATTTGATTTTAACAAGATAAAAAAAGGGAGAAAGTTTCATATGTTAAATATGTTTTAAAGTTGATTGTCGTTTCTAACTGGTTTTTAAAACTATTATAATTAAAATTTTGTCTTAAAGTTTATTATATTTTTCAACTAGTTGATGATTTGAAATATATATTAAAACTAGATTGATTTTAAAGCCAAAATGGTTTCATAAGAGTTTTAAACATATTTAAATATTAAAAACAAGTCTGCATTTAAGAGAAATTATAATATTATTTATTTTGTTAAAATTAGTTTAAAACACTGTTTTATAATTTTAAACTAGCTTTGAACCAACCGGGTTTCTAATCATAAACTTGTTTTAAAACTAATTTTAAACCTGATTTTGAAAATCCAAACAAATTATTTTCCTGATTAGAATGAGCAATGTTGGAATTGCTCAATTAGCTTGATGGTTTCAGTAGTGATGACAAAATTATGGCTTGTCTTTATTTGTTATTGTCTTTATGTTTTTTCTTGAATGATGTGATATGAATAAGCTTCAAAGATTTTTGCTGTGTGGTAGTAAAGCATAATAATTTATATTCTCAAGTCTAATGTTTAGGGTTGGTCCCGTAATTTAACTTTTTTATTTTTATGACTTTTTATTTTAACTCGTCTTTTACAATATGTGTAACATTTCGAATATCAATAAACTATTTTGTTCATTTAGACTATGTTATTCAAGAGTCATTTTCATTTATTCTTGTCAATTGCAGGTTATAGCAGCAACAAACAGCAGATATTCTTTACCTCGCCCTGATGCATTCTAGGCTATTGGATCGTAAAATTGAGTTTCTGCACCGAATTGAAGATGGGCTCGGATTCTACAGGTTGAGTCTTCAAAATTTATTTGCTGACATATTTTTTGTACAAAACATTTACTGACTTCTCTCACTTTGATATTCTAGGTCTATTCAATGAACGATGATTGTTCACTTTGAATCAAGTTGCATTCGGGAATTTATTTTTATAATTACTACACATGAATAACTAAGTTATTTTGATTGACTACAACTATTTATTAGGCTTTTAAACTACTGAAATTAAATTTGGTATTTTATGATGCCTACTCGTTCTCTCACATGTTGCAGGAGAGATTTACAGCCCCTGGCCATTTCTGCCCTTTTCTCAAGTGCAATTTGTTTATCTCTTATTCTGAAAACAATAAATTAAAACATCAATATTAGATTTAAGTAAATAATGTTAACCAATCACATATGGTTTATGAAAATTAACTCCTTATGTATAAATAATCTTAAACATGACCTTTGAGATTGTTGCCATCAATAAAAAATTTATCATTCATTGTTTATTTTTATTTTTGTTGTAGTGAAGCAGTATGATACTTGTGAAATTGTCGCGGTGAAGATGGCAAGACTTCGTGTATTGCGATTGGTGAAGGATTTTCCTAATTTCCTTTGGTTCAGTGCTATCATACAAACAGTCTTTGATTGTGGTTGATTCACGATGCATAAGCGAATTTATTTTTACAAGTATTATGCATGAATAACTGTTATTTTGATTGACTTCAACTACTTATTAGTTTTTAAACTACAGAAATTAAACTGCAGTATTTTATGATGCTTACTCATTCTCTCGCATGTTGCAGGAGAGAAGTTTGCATTTTGCAATTCTTGCAATTTTTTTTTGTTTTTTGTTATATGTAGGTGGAGGGTCTTAGGAGATCGGTGAATTTTAAGATTTTGGGATAGTTTCACTTTTGCACATGAAGATAATTTTAAGATAGTTTTTGCGTTACCTTTTGCACTTGAATTTGATTTCAGCTTTGGAATTTCAATCATGGACACATTTTTGAGGCATGTAAAGACAATCTCAAGAAGCTTCAGCTAAGTTATCTAAATTCACTTTCTTATTGTCAAAAGGCATATTGGTATGTTTGTTTCTTATGTGTCCCTTAAATACAATTTTTTGTGCATGTATGGTAACAATTATAATTGGCATTATTAAAGGAGTGATCTGATTGGGCAGAGTATTTTTACCTTACACAGAGAATTAATATACCCATGAGATCAAATATATACATGAATTATGAGTACATGTATACTTATTAAAAACCTTATCTAATTATTAAGTATCTTATATAATTGCCTGATTATATTTCCTTATTGTATATACTTGTGTGCATCTAGTGATACTAAGCTGGCCTCCAATATACTTTTATATGAAGGTAGGCAAGACTACTTGTATACCTAGTATTCTTTTGATACGAAAGTTGATGCTAAGTCTAGTCCTTCAGGAATCTCTTCATACTGATTTTAAAATTGATTTTGAACCATAAATTGATTTTTAAGGCAAATTGGTTTCACAAGAATTTAAATTATCAATTGATTTGAAACAGATTAAAAATAATAAACAAGTCTGCATTTAAGATAAATCTAAATATCATTTATTTTGTTAAAATTAGTTTAAAAAACTGATTTATGATTGTAACCTAGCTTTGATACCCAACCGGATTTCTAATCATAAACTGGTTTTAAAACCAAGTTTAAAATTGAAAATCCGAAAAAGTTATTTTGCTGATTACAATGAACAATGTTGGAATTGCTCAATTAGGTTGATGGTTTTAGTAGTGATGACAAAATTATGTCTTGTCTTTATTTTTTATTGTCTATATGTTTTTTCTTGATTAATGTGATATAAATAAGTACAATAAGTGTTTCTTTTTTCTACTGTGAATTCACGCATTGTTTTGGTAAGTGAGTAATTTGAAATTAGACTTCCAAGATTTTTTTGACTATTGTTTTATTCAAAAATTAATTTGCAATGTTTATGTTTGTTTTAAAAGTTACTTAATTATACGGGTATTGTTAACATTTTTTTTATAGGTTTAGTTTAATCTTACTACTTTTTCCACAAAAGGATTGGACTGTTCATTTGTGGAGGATGATGTCAGATCTTGAGGTGAATTACTTGCTATTCATATGTATGACTAATTACTTTCCCTTTTCCGATATTTTCTGGCTGTAGGCTCCTATAATTGGTCTAAAATAATCAAATTGTTGTAGTTTCTTGTCTGACTATTTCTAGTCCCTTTCTTGTTGATGAGATGTTTGATGTATGCATTATGGATGATCTCCATTGTATCTAAAATTTTTCTCATTGGATTTAAAGATTGTTAATATATAAATTATTTGAATGTGGAATCAAATATAAAATGACTTTTGATATTTTCAAAGATTGGGAAAGATTATGTGTTATTCATTATTTTTTGTTCATTAATGTGTTTATCACAATTTTATAGCAAATGTTATTATCTTAATTCTTGTTGAATTATTAATTTTAAAAAAAAAGTCTTTTTGGTTAAATTATTACTTCTATTTTAAAATCAATTTATCTTACTTCTTTGTTTTTCTTTTGGTTGAGATTTTTTTTGAAACATTATTACTCACATCATGTTTATGTGGCAGGAAAACATATTTTTTGTCATGGTCATTTGTGATTTATTAAATCTCTGTGAAATCACAAGTGGAAAAGATAACAAAGCTGTTATTGCATGTAATATCATGTAAGGGATGTTTTTTTTATTGATTTGCTCGATGTTAAATGATGTTATACCTCTGTTGAATAATATGCCATTGCTTCTATTGGCAGGTATCTTGTGGGACAGGATCCTCGGTTTTTAAGAGCTCATTGTAAGTTTCTAAAAACTGTTTTGAATAAGTGTTTGAGTTTATGCATGAGACACATCCTAGAGTTTAGGTTTTGTTTTCTTCCTATGTTTTCTGTCCAACTTTTTCTTATATCATAAGCTTTGTTTATGTCAAATGACTTAAAGTTGAAATGCTGTTTTTTAATGTTTGTTACTTAAGTATTACTATTTGACATCTTCACACGAATTTTAATCCAAATCAAATGTTGGAGCCTTTGATACTCAAATTTTGCGAAGTGAGTAATTTTCTTTGGTGAATTCAGGAATTTTTTGTATAATGTGGCTAGTGAGTAATTTGAAATTAAACTTGCATGGTTTTATGATTACTGCCTCATTCAAAATTTAATTTGAAAAGTGCATCCTAGTATTAAAAGTTATTTTATTATATTAGTATTTTTTGAATTTTTTTTGTAAGATTAATTTAATCTAGTACTTCTTTTTTCTACAAAATGACCAAAGTGTTCATTTGTTCGTATATCTGTGTGTGTATGCCCTATCTTTTTCTGTGTGATTTATCTTTGTCTCTCTGTTTGTCTTTAATTGTGTATGAGTGTTTTTTTTGTCTCTTTATGTTTTGAAGTGTTTGTGTTTGTGGCCGTTAGTTTGTGTCTTTATCTTTGTGTTTGTATCTCCCGCACTACCTCTGTATGAGTGTGACCTTGTTGGTTTGTGTATGTGTGTACTTTATATCTTAATGAATTTATATCATACAAATTTTAAAATATGAAAAGACTATAAATTTGAATTCAAATTTGAATTTGAATTCAAATTTGAATTTGAATTCAAATTTGGATGTCCACTTGCACCATGCCATGTGCAACCATCCCTTTTAGAATCCTAATTGCATTTAGAGGTAATTTAGGATTCATTTAAGTGTACACATGTGCAGCCACCTTTGGCACAAAACATGTGACTCAGATGAAACTCTAATTACTCCTAAATGTAATTAACATTCTATGATTTATGTCTAATACTTATTCCCTTTAAATTCCTATTCTAATAGCCTAAATACAATGACCAATCAAATACAATATAAAGGAAAAATTACAAGGATTAAAATGAGCACAATATTGGGTACCAAAAACCCAAAGGCCCATGAAGCCCAAAACTAGGCCCAATGAGCCTAAAGTCCAAAAGTCTTATACTAATGTCCATAATACAAGATCAAACAATATGAAATTCTATACTACCAAAGATATAAGAAAGGTGGTCAATCATGTAAAGCCCAAGTGAAGAGAACCTTAGGCCCACCAAATCCATTTGACTCACTAAGCTCTAAAGCAGTCAAATCTTCAAGTAATCTTCTGGCCATAACTCTAGTGGTTGGACCGTTGATCCATGCTCTTCCATCAAGTTATCCATCTAATCTATCAATTATACAACATAATATTAATAAATTATTATTATTACTTTTATTTTATAGATGGTTAGTGATTAATTCACTTTATTTTCATAATTCATTGTATTACAATAAGAAAAGTATATTGGGTTGAGTTTTTTTTTAAATATTTTTTTGTTATGTATTTAAATCATGATTTTAAAAGATTATTTTGATATAAAAAAATCTTATAATTTTTTAAAAATTATGTAAAAATATAATAAAACAATTTTATAATTAACATTTTATACTTTAGATCTTAATGAATTTATATCATAAAAATTTTAAATTTTGAAAAGACTATAAATTTATAAATTAAAAAAAAAACTAAATAAATTTTAGTAATCATTCAAAGTTACTTGAAAAATATAACAAAAAAAATTCATAAGGTTTGGATTTGGATTAAGAAAAGGAAAAATAATACAACATTTTAATTATTTTTTAATTTGTTTTTGTCAAATCAATTTGAAATCTCACTTCCATCGGAGGATAAACAACCACCACAAAATCAACATGTTGAATTTGCAAAATATATAAATAAATTTCGTTGTCAATATAACGACAAAACATTATGAAATTTAAGATATTAAGTATGTAGATAGTAAAAAAAAATAGAGATAGGAGAATGAAAGAAAAATAAAGAGAAGGAAAATATTTCAAAATAAAAATTATAAAAATCTTTTTTTTATAAATACATCCATAAAAAAATTATTAATGAATAAATCGAATAATTATTTTCTTAAATGAATTGGAGGAATTAATTTTTTGAATAATATTTTAGTAAATTTAAATAAATGAATACATTATGTTTATTTAATCCATTAATCTTACTTAAAAAAAGAAAATGAATACATTATTTCGGCCAGCACATAGTCTGAATGTTTGTTTGACCCATCAAAAATAAAATTTCCTTTGGATCTTCCAAATACTTATTTTTTTTGTATCATGTGCAACCGAGCCCAAGTTGTAAGGTCATTCGTACTGCTTGACGGATTACCTGTGATGTTGATGTTGATATTCCACCCTTCGCTCATTTGGGATTAAGGAAACTACTCGTTAAGTCCCGTTTGTTTCGGGGGATTTACTGTTCACGACAAACGAAAGGTAAAGAAACTTGACGTTTGTTTTCGCTAATTTGTACTGAAAGAAAAGCGAAGAAAAGCGGGAGAACCTGCGTGGCCGTTCCTCGTGAAGTTGTGAAGAAAAGAGATGAAAGTCACGTAAGAAATGAGAAAACTCGATAATACCCTTGCCCAAAAGCTGAAAATAGATTAAGCTCTGCCATGCTCATGCATGCAGAGACTGTGCCATGCAGCAGAGGTTCATTTCTTTATACATGAGGGAGGGTAAAAGAGGTATGGGAATGAAGAATGGAGGACAAACCGCGGAGAAAAACTGAACCCCTAGCCAACATAATCAATTATGCATGACACAAATCGATTATGGGCCAGCATAATCGATTATGCATGGCACATAATCGATTATGCATGCATAATCGATTATGGTGGCATATTTTTGCTTCCAGTCGTGTAACGTAGTTAGTAGCCTAGAACGGATCGTTCCAAAATTGGAACGGGTCATTCCAAACTACTAAAACAAGGGTAATTTAGTAGCCTAGAACGGGCCGTTCCCAAACTGGAACGAGCCGTTCCAAACTACTAATAGCGTGTTTGTTTTACCGTTTGAATATCATTCAACGGATTTTTTACACTTTCCAAAGCAGAAAAGTGAAGGGATGGATTACCGTTCAGTTTCATTCAACGTGAAAACAAACACGTTATAAATTAGCTTAAAAATCCTAGTTGAGAACGGGCCGTTCCAAATTGACTGTTATTAAAAATGAAAATTAGAAAATATAATTATCATAATATATTTTGTTATTATTTATTATTATAAATATTATTATTATTATTTATTATAATTACTATCATTGTTATTTATTATGATTCTTATTATTTTTCTAATATTTATTATTATTATTATCATTATTTATTATTTTTTTAATAAATTATACCTATTAATATAAT